GCCTGATAAGAGGAATAATCTTCCCCGACTTAAATCACAGAATGCCGTCCTCGCCGGCGATCCCGACATCGGCAACCGCCTCCCCTTCCCAACCGACACGTTCGAGATGTTCGACGAGTGCAAGGACGGTTTGGTGCTCGCCAAGCTCATCAACGACAGCGTTCCAGACACGATCGATGAGCGTGTCCTGAACCGGCCCAAGGGAGCCAAGAAGCTCAACGCCTTCCAGATGACGGAAAACAACAACATCGTCATTGAGTCAGCAAAGGGCATAGGCTGCTCAATTGTCAACATTGGTGCCGGGGATATCGCTGAGGTCAGGGAGCATCTCATTCTGGGACTGATTTGGCAGGTTATTCGCCGGGGTCTGTTGGGCAAGATTGACATCAAGCTCCGCCCCGAATTGTACCGTCTGCTTGACGAGGACGAGACTCTGGAGCAGTTCCTCAGACTGCCCCCTGAGCAAATCCTCCTCCGGTGGTTCAACTACCACCTCGATGCTGCCGGCTCGCGCAACAGGGTTACCAATTTCTCGTCGGATGTCAAGAATGGCGAGAACTACACGTTGTTGCTAGCCCAGATTGGCTCTGAGCAGGGTTGCACTGAAGCCCCTCTTGACACTCTGGATTTGCACCAGCGCGCTGAGGAGGTTCTCCAAAACGCTGACCGTCTTAAATGCCGCAAGTTCTTGAGCCCTTCTTCGCTTGTTGCCGGTAACCCCAAGCTCAATCTTGCCTTCGTTGCCAACCTGTTCAACGAACACCCCTGCCTTGGCTCAATCACCGAGGAGGAGAAGCTCGAGGTGGAGGACTTTGATGCTGAAGGCGAGCGCGAGGCCCGTGTTTTCACCCTCTGGCTCAACAGTTTGGATGTGCAGCCCGCTGTCCAGTCCTTCTTTGACGACCTCCGCGACGGCACCATCCTTCTCCAGGCCTACGACAAGGTTATCAGTGGCTCGGTCAACTGGCGGCACGTCAACAAGCTCCCAGCGCACGGCGGTGAGATGTCGAGATTCAAGGCTGTGGAAAACACCAACTACGCCATTGAGCTCGGCAAGCAAAACGGCTTCTCGCTTGTTGGCATCCAGGGTGCGGATATCACTGACGGGCAGCGCACTCTGACGCTTGGTCTGGTCTGGCAGCTCATGCGCAAGGATATCACTGTTACCCTGAAGGGCCTGGCGCAGCGGTTGGGCAAGCGCGAGATCACCGATTCGGAGATGGTCCGGTGGGCCAACGACATGGTGGGCAAGGGCGGTCGCAAAGGGACCATCCGATCGTTCAAGGACCCTGTCATTGGGTCGGGTGTGTTCTTGCTGGATGTGCTGAATGGTATGAAGAGCAGCTATGTCGACTACGATCTTGTCACGCCTGGGCGGAACGACGAGGAGGCGTATCTCAATGCCAAGCTCAGTATCAGTATTGCGAGAAAGATGGGGGCGACGATTTGGCTGGTGCCCGAGGATATTTGCCAGGTTCGCAGCCGTTTGGTGACGACGTTTATTGGTATGTGTTTCGGTTCCTGATGAACACGATGAAGAAGCTAATGTGGTAAAACTATAGGTTCTCTGATGGCGACTCACGAAAAGATGCAGTAGAATGGAGCATCTTTTCGCTTGTTATAAGTTGGAACTCGACAAAAGGTGGGGAGGCGGGGACAGGCAAGGTTCTTGGGAAAAGTTGCGACTACGAAAACAAGTCTGTTTTACGGATTCTCAGTCATTTTCCTTTTCTTCATGCCCCGAATTGTTCTGTTTAGGTAGCACTTTTTGTTGATGGCTTGGGCGTGTGGTTTTATTTACTTTTTCTGCAGAGTAACCGAGTCATGCGGCGTCTTGAATTCTATCTAGTTGAATCCTTGAATTGGGGAATGTTCCTGGTCTCATCCGATGTGTTGAGGGGACGGGTCTGAGATGATGAGTTGGTTCGGCGCCACTGGTGATGGGGAGCTGAAGGGGTCAAGCGCTAACTTTGCATGCATGACCCAAGGCTAAGTATCGACGGTATAACGACTGGATAGGTAAGGTTATTGGTGAGAACAACAGCCACTCTGGTTTCGAGTACCCCCCTTCGTAGACGCTGAGGCAGTGAGTTGAGGGTCAATTCAGGGGTTCTGGGTGGAGTCACTCCCGATAAGCGGTGACAGGCGGCAGATTGAACCCTTGCTCCCCCAAAAGTGCAAAAGGAACAAGGGACCCCGCGACAAGAGAGGGGCACTGGACATTGCATGCGCGACCAGCCGAGACGGTCTTCTTTTGCCCCACCAAAACTTGAGTCAACGGTGGTTCTCGATCTCTGGAACACACTTTCCCTTGGACACCTTTTCAACCCATTGACTTTTTTTTTCCTTTCTGCGCATACTCGAGGACAGGGACGGGACGAAGGAAGGAACCGAAAACTAGTAGTGACAATGGCGGCCGACAACAGCAACGCGGAACAGAGGTTCGCTCTCATCAAGGAGAACCTGGCCGAGTTCCTCAATGAGGAGATCATCAAGAAGGTTGTTGATGAGGGGGGCCATCCCAAGATTTACTGGGGTTTGTATTCACCTTTCACTTGCATAGTATAGGGGGAACAAGATGGGTTATTGACAGAAAGAAACCAAAATCAGGCACGGCAACCACGGGCCGCCCTCACTGCGGCTACCTCGTCCCCGCCATCAAGATGGCCCAGTTCCTCGCCGCCGGCTGCGAGCTGACGGTCCTCCTCGCCGACATCCACGGCTTCCTCGACAACCTCAAGGCCCCCCTCGAGCTGGTAATGCACCGGGCCGAGTTTTACCGCTACACCATCTCCACCCTCCTCGGCGCCGTCGGCGTCTCGACCGAGAAGCTCAAGATTGTGCTCGGGTCGTCGTACCAAAAGTCGGCCGAGTACGTCATGGATGTGTACAAGATGGCCTCGATCATTTCGGAGCATGACGCGAAAAAGGCGGGCGCGGAGATTGTCAAGCAGACGGATAACGCGCCGCTGAGTGGGCTGCTGTACCCGATTTTGCAGGTGTTGGATGAGCAGTATCTTGATGTGGATGCGCAGTTTGGTGGGGTCGATCAGAGAAAGTTGTTTATTGCTGCGAAGGAGTGGTTGCCCAAGTTGGGTTACAAGGAGAGGGCGCATTTGATGAACCCGATGGTGCCTGGGTTGCATGGGGGGAAGATGAGCTCGAGTGATCCGGATAGCAAGATTGACTTGTTGGACTCGCCGGAGACGGTGGCTAAGAAGATCAAGAAGGCGCATGCGGCGCCGCAGGTGACGGAGGATAATGGGTTGTTGGCTTTTATTGAGTATGTGCTGCTGCCGGCGAGCGGGTTGAGGGGGAAGAAGGAGTTCAAGGTGGAGAGGGAGAGGGATGGGTTGGAGACGTTGGTTTATGAGGATATTGAGAAGATCAGGGAGGATTACAAGAATGATATCGTGAGTGTTTTCCGCTGTGATGAGTGAGATAGGAATGGGGGGGGGTGCTAACATTTGGTGACAGTTGACGCCACAATTGATCAAGCCTGCGATCACAAGAGACTTGAACGCTCTTTTGGCACCTATCCAGGAGGCGTTCAAGAACAACAAGGAGTGGCAGGAGATTGCCGAGAAGGCCTACCCTCCTCCACCAAAGAAGGAGAAGAAGGTCAAGAACAAGGGGACACGCTACCCCGGCGGTGGCAAGCCTGAGGAGAAGGCGTTGCCAATGAGGACAAACGGTGATGCGCCTGCCGAAGCTACGGAGGCTGCTCCATCTGCTCAATAGCTTACCTTTTGAGGTATTTGGTTGGTGCTTGGGTCAGCGTAGGAAAAGGCGTTGTGTGCAGTCGGAATGGGTAGAAAGCGTTTAGATACATGCTCTTCTAACATTGTCTGCGGGGTGTTTGCTGTTTGCTCATGAATGGTATGAAAAGGGCAATGGAAACAATTCTGATCTCACAAAGAATACTTCGAGAAATGTCTCAACCGAGGATACCACATCCATGGTTCCGGGGTGGGACGAAGGTCGAGGTTGAGGGAGTGAAGGGAACAGCACCCTAACCCTTGTTGGTTGCTATGTGCTCTTTGACCTGTTGCCGGCATTCCGACGGTGGACGTTACACCTGGGCCCGGCCCCACGCCACCCGGGCGTTGGGCATTCCTCCACCTCCGTATCCGTCTCTTTTCCCTCTTTTGCCTTTGAGACCATGTCTCTTAGCCACGCTCACATGGTTCCGCCCGATCCGGGGCGGACTGTTGCATGTTTTTGGCACCGGTGAATCCGTGAAACAATAGGTATAGGAACACAAGACAGAAATAGAATGAAATGTGTTGTTGCATCGCATCATACAGATCACGAGAGGTGTTTATATAATATGAACCGAAGGATGTAGAAATGTGCTTATATGTCGGGTTGCCTGCGACGTCTTCCGGGCTGGCCGCTGCCTTGCCTTATACGCTGATATATACATATACATGCAGGCCTTTTTTTTTCTTGCTTGCGCAAGCAGAGCAGATCAAATCCCAGATGCAACTCTACCATGTCATGGTGGGCATCGCCCTGCTGATCACGTCGCCTCATCATTCTCACATCATTTATTTCTGGAATGAGTTTCGGGGGATTTGGGGTGAGTTTTTAGATGCGTTGTATGCGCAGCAGGTGACTTTTTAAGAAATCAAGTTTGCTGTTTATCAGATTGCAATGGCGGTGCTAGCCAACGGTGAGGATAACGGTGCGATGGATTCGACGGTGGCATTCAACGGCTTTCACCATGGCCGCAACTCCGGGTCGGAGGCGGCTCGGCCGGGGATATCGTCGATTGAGAGCTCGACTACTACAAGTGAGGAGGAGTCTGGGGCGGATTTATCGCTTTCTAGGCAGAAGACGGTTGCTGCGCAGTCTTGTCGCGATGACTACCAGCCGTCGACACCACCATCGTCGTTTTCTCAACCAACACCATCGACGCCACCCCTCACACCTAAGTCTACTACCCCTGTTGTCAAATCAGAGCAAAATGAGAGGAAACACCATCACCTTCACCACCACAAACAATTCACCACCCCGATCTTCACCCCCTCGTTGACAACATTTGACCGGCACAATCCCCTCGCCAACTCGTCCCCGTTCTTCGGATTTTACACCCTGTTTTGGATGTCTGTTTTTTTGTTCGTGGTCAAGATTGGGGCGGATAACTGGAGGGAATATGGCAATGTGCTTGGGACGCATGAGATCCTGTCGACGATGTTTGCTCCTGGGAAGGAGGTGGTGGTGTTGGGTCTGGCGGACGGGGTGATGTGTGGGTTGACTGGGGTTGGGTTGGTTATACAACGGGGGGTGGTGTTGAGGAGGGGGGTGAATTGGGATGGGTCCGGGTGGGTGGTTCAGCATGTTTGGCAGACGGGGTTTATGGCTGGGGTGGTGGGTTTTACTCTTTGGAGGGGGTGGCCGTGGACGCATACGGTTTTTTTTGTTATGCATGGGGTTGTGATGGTGATGAAGATGCATAGTTTTGGGTTTTATAATGGGTATTTGTCTGGGTTGTGGAAGAGGAGGGAGGGGTTGAAGGGGAGGGTGGAGAGGTTGGAAAAGGGGGTGATAACTGAGGGAGTTGCCAGCTCTGTTGAGAAGGCGGATAACACCGCAACAACAACAACTCGAAGACGGCATGGGGAAGGGGAAGAAACTGATACGCTCAAGGAAGTCAACATGCTCAAAAGTGAAATCGAGGCTCTTACTGAGGAGCTCAAGGGCAAGGCAACAGATCCGTCGAGGGCATACCCGAATAACCTCACCGTTTGGAACCACTACGAGTACATTGTCTTCCCGACGGTGGTCTACGAACTCGAATACCCCCGCTCCAACAAAATCAACGTCTACTACGCCCTCGAGAAACTGGTCGCCTGCTTCGGCATCATCTTTGTCATGATCATGATCTCCCAGGCCTTTATCTACCCGGTCGTGATGCAGACTGTGGAGATGAAGGCACAGAACATGCCCTTGGCCGAACGGTTCAAGCAGTTTCCCTGGATGCTGCTGGACCTGATCTTCCCGTTCATGATGGAGTACCTGCTGGTGTGGTATCTGATCTGGGAGACCATCTTGAACCTTTTGGCCGAGATCACGTACTTTGCCGACAGGAGCTTCTATGATGCGTGGTGGAACTGTGTGAGCTGGGATCAGTTTGCGAGGGACTGGAACAGGCCGGTGCATAATTTCTTGCTGAGGCATGTTTATCATAGCTCCATCTCGGCGTTCAAGGTCAACAGGCATACGGCGACGCTGATTACGTTTGGGCTGTCGGCTTGTGTGCATGAGCTGGTGATGTGGTGTATTTTTAAGAAGTTGAGGGGGTACTTGTTGGTGTTGCAGATGTGCCAGTTGCCGGTGAGTCTTTTCTGTTTATTACCCCTTACTTGGATTATGGGCTTGGTGCTGATGAGATGTGTGTATAGTTGGTGAGGTTGAGTAGGACCAGATGGCTCAAGAATAGAGCAACGCTTGGGAATATGATCTTCTGGCTGGGGATATTCACTGGGCCGAGTGTGCTGTGTAGTCTGTATCTAATTCTGTAAATTTGTTTATGTCAGCAGCAATGGAATCATTAGTAGAGAGAGTTGTTTGCGGTTGTTCCTTTGTCCATGTCTCCATGTCTGTCCTCGACTCGATCTGCTTCGAGTGTCGGTGCAGGGAAGTTGAGAATAAAAAGGCTTGGCTGACACAGCTTCACAGTGTGCCCCACCCAATCACGAGCGTGGGAGTAGTGGGCCCTTTCTAGCTTTCAAGTCCGCATCGGGGGCCTTGCCTTTCCACTTTCAACGTTGCCATTCTCCGACACCTCGTCACCGCCAAACATCAACCTTCATCAACACCCCAGAGCAGAGCAATTTCACCTGTCAGAGGTGCCCATACCACACATTCAAAAGCCGGTCACTGGATATCTTTCCAAGACCACACGGACCACCCCGACGTCACTGATACTCTGGGAGAGCTGAAGCTAGCCAGCCGTTGCGCTGTCCCGTTACCCACCTGTCTAAATTTTTCTCAGGCTCCTTCTCGCTCCAAATAAAACCATCAGCACCACCACCTGTGTGGCAGCTATTTCCATCGCGTCTCCCCTCTCCCACCGAGTCGCCATCAACCGCCATCATGTCTCGCAACGGCACTACCCTCTACGTGACCGGTTTCAGCCACGGAACTCGCGCGCGCGACCTCGCGTACGAATTCGAGCGGTACGTCTAACTCAACTCAGCACCCAACCACCACCACCAGAACGCGGCGATGGCTCGATCACCAGCTTCGAGCTCGGTCCTCGAATCCTACCTACCTCCCTCCCCCTATCGTCATCGTTCCTCGTTCCTCGTCCCCCTTTATCCGCCCTCCTCCTCCTCCTCCTCCTGCAATGCCTTCCGTCGTCGGGCTAGCCTCCCCCCTTTCGCCCTCGCTGCGTACCCTTTCCACCCACCTAGCTACCTCCCGTCGTCGGCATGCTCGCTGCCCTCAGTCGCGCTCTTCTCGCTCTCGCACCTCCGCGCCCTCGTACTTCCTCCCTTCGATCGAGCGGTCGGCGATGACTTCAATATGAACATCTCTCTCCTTTGTCATTTTTGGGCGAGTCTTCCTGCTAGGTTGCAGATATCCTCAGAGCTTGAATTGCGCGCAGCCAGCGAATTCCTTTGATGCTTTTGTCTCACAATCCGCTGGTGGTAACCAAATGCTGACACGAATCAACATGTAGATATGGCCGTCTTGTCCGTTGTGACATTCCGGCTCCTCGCTCTGCCTCCAGCAGACTGTACGTATGATTCTCTCGTTCGAACGACGTGTCTGTTGCTAACACTTTCTCAGCTTCGCTTTCGTCGAGTACGAGGACCGCCGTGACGCGGACGACGCGTATCATGATATGCACAACAAGCGCATTGGCCGTGATGACATCTTGAAGATTGAGGTATGTTCTCCTACCATGTATCGGCAAGAATACAGGAGGCTAATATGGTTCACAGTGGGCTCGCACTCCCCCCTCTGCTTCGTGGAGATTCGACCGCAACGAGCGTGATGGCCGCCCTCGCCGTTCTTCTCCCCGCCGCCGCTCTCCCAGTCCTAGACGCAGCACCCGTGACTACTCTCCCAGAAAGGATGACCGCCGGGAGCGTGATCGCGATAGAGACTACGACCGCGACCGCCGTGACACCCGTGATCGTTCTCGCAGCCCTGATCGGTGAGCTCCCATATCCTTGTGTCAAAAGTTCTGTTTAGTATGCTGACCTGGAACCTTGCAGTGAGCGGGATCGTGATGTCAAGGAAGACCGCGACCGTGAGGACCGTGACCGCCGCGAGAATGGCACTAACGGTGATGACAGAAAAGGTACGTCTAGTTGTTGGTTTTATATGGCAACCCTTTATCTAACAATTCAGCAGCCCTGGACAGCCCTGAACGTGCCGCCCACGACGATCTCGATATTGCCGAGTAAAGGCGTCGATTTTAGATTGCAGTTGATGTGACGGTCACTATCTCTCTTACCACCCTCTAGGGTTCTGGCAGTAAGACTGTTAATTTGCATCGCTTTCTTTTTCTTTGCCATTTTCGGTGGACAACTGATGCCAAGCACGTCAAAGTGCTTGCCTTGACAAAAACGGCGTTTCTTTTAGTTTTCGAGTCGGGGACAGAGGCCGGAAGTCCATCATATAATAAACAAACTCCCAGTCGGGGAAGCGAACAGATACGGTATTCTAAGAACGATCCGGTAGACGTCTGCCTTACCATGTCTTTTTTGTTTTCTGTCTCAATGTGTTTCAGGAGGGGGCTTGAGGAAAAGTAAATAGATAGTAGTAGTAGCGGTAGCAATAACAGGACAATTGCTTGGTTCAGAATACCTCGTCTAGCAGAAGCCCCCACAATTTCACGTCATGCTTGAGCCCCTGGCAATGCACACACTCAACTCCGCCACTCTAGAGCCTCACCAGATCACTAGACACTTCGCCTTATGAGCACCTGATCACAAGACAAACAACACAACCTCTCGCTAAGAACACCGCTCTGATTGAAACTGAAAACGCCTCATGATTGCAATGCAGATAACACTCAGCTCGGGGTCAGGGAATGCAACCTGCAGCGGGTCCCTGACACTATCTGTAATATCTATCATCTTATGTCTGGACGCAGTAGATCTGTGCCTGGGTCTACCGAATTCCCCGATGTTCTCCGTGTCAACCCGACAGCAATGCCGCCATTGGTATAACCATTGGCACCACAAATGACCTGCGTTAGTTGGAGAAGCAAGTGGGGGGTTTAGCTACAATTTCCAGACTATCAGATCAACAAACGTTGAAGCTTGGGGCCAACGGTTACCAACGGACAGGTACCAAGAGAGCTGTTTTGATGTTTTTCCTAGTGGAGGGGGTTTCGTTGGAACGATACATAGTTTGAAAGCAGCTCCTATTTGAGACTAGGTGATCTGTCTAAAGGAGACATCACATGTCCTAATAGACAGATGGGCTTATGACGGGAAGGGTCACCTAGTGAGGGGAGGCGGTCAGCAAGGTACCCGGCGGTAAACGCCCACCGTAGCACTGGGGTCGTTAGAGGGCTATCGAGATCCGATGGAGGGGCACAGGTCTCAGGATGACCATCTGCGCAGCGCTGATGATGCCTGTCCCTCAGCCCTATTTGATGGCTGTGGAAGAGGACTGACTGTGTACGGAGTATGGTCACAGGACAGTGCTCAGCTCAGCTGTGTCCAGCAGTGAAACATGTGAGCATAGGTATCAAGATGCTGAAGAAGTCAAAAGCGTAGGTCTTGGCAGCTTTGCCCTGTTTGAAATTTTCGTCATCCGGGCGCGATGCCGAGCGCAACAAGCAACCACAGCAAGCCACTCAACTGCCAATCTGCCCGTCTCCACACACCGGGAGCCACGGTCCCTTCCTCTAAAAGCTTCCATCTCCTTTCCTGGGACCTGGAACAAATGCACAACTTCAAAAGCGCATCTCTTGCACACACTGCACGCACCCCTCGACCTCGAATCCACAAGCTAACCGTTGCCGCCGAATTCCTATCAGTCTCAGCCCAACAAAGGCGCCCCCCTATGCGACAAGGGAACCGCACGAGCGACCGTTCTCTTCGACATGTCTATCTCTCTCGCATCTGAACCCTAGCTTGTTTTCTTTTTCCCCTACCTTTCCTTGCTGGCTGAATATCGACGAGATTGTTTCAATTGGGGGGACATTGCAGTCCTTTGGCGAACATTGATTGCCCTTTTGTGACACTGTCTTACACCTGGAATGCGCGCAGGAACAGCCTCCTGGAAACGCAACACTTCACGAATTCACTTTCTGCCTCTTTTTGCGACGACGACGACGAAGAAGAAGGTTCACCACACACACACACAATAGACTTTTGTGGGGCAACCATCATTGAGAGCAACCTACCGGGATAGAGATTTCCTTTTTGCTCTGGAGCTTGTCTCCGTTGAGATTTCCTTTCAAAATGTCGGCGCAACAGTCTCACACACCCCAAAACGCGACAGCAGAAACACAAACCGAGACCAACACCCCCACCAGGTCAACAACTGTTGCTACGATGGCGCCACCACCACCAGATCAGCTCGGCCCGACGACCTACGTTCGTTCGTTCATCTCACAACCAGTAACGGCTGCTTTCATGGCTGGCGGAGTGGCGGGTGCTGTGTCGAGAACGGTGGTGTCACCTCTCGAGCGCCTCAAGATTCTGTTCCAGGTCCAGAGCGCGGGGAGGGACGCATACAAGCTCAGTGTGGGCAAAGCGTTGATGAAGATGTGGAAGGAGGAGGGCTGGCGCGGGTTTATGAGAGGCAATGGCACGAACTGCATCCGCATCGTGCCTTACTCGGCCGTCCAGTTTGGGAGTTATAATTTCTATAAGAGGGTATGTTTGCATTGCGTGGAGGGTCTTGCTGCTTGTGGGAGCTCGGTTGCTGACCGGATGGTGTATTGCAGAGGTTCTTCGAGAGACATCCCGACGACAGCCTGACGCCCCTGTCCCGCCTGACGTGCGGTGGCATTGCTGGTATTACCTCTGTTACTGTTACCTACCCGCTCGACATCGTGCGAACAAGACTCTCGATTCAGTCCGCGTCCTTTGCCGAGTTGGGTGAAAGACCAAAAAAGCTTCCGGGCATGTGGCAGACCATGGCGGTTATGTACAAGACTGAGGGTGGATTTCCTGCCTTGTACAGGGGTATCGTTCCGACGGTGGCTGGTGTTGCGCCATACGTATGTGGTTTTTTCCGTTGGAAGCTGAGAAGGGGACGAAGTGTGAATGCTAACCATTTTGGCAGGTCGGTCTGAACTTCATGGTCTACGAATATGTCCGGCAATACTTGACACTGGAAGGCGAGCAGAACCCCAGCCATGTTAGGAAACTGGCCGCTGGTGCGATCTCTGGCGCGGTTGCGCAGACATGCACATACCCATTGTAAGTTTGAGTGGCAAGCGTGTGTGTGTTAAGGTTGAAGACGAAAACTGACCACAGCCAGCGATGTATTGCGGCGCCGCTTCCAAATCAACACCATGTCCGGGATGGGCTACCAGTACAAGTCCATCACAGACGCCGTTCGCGTCATTGTTACCGAGGAAGGTCTGAGAGGCCTCTACAAGGGGATCGTTCCAAATCTCCTCAAGGTTGCCCCGAGTATGGCGTCCAGCTGGCTCAGTTTCGAGATTTGCCGTGACTTTTTTGTCAGCCTGAAACCGGAAGAGGAGCCATTGCTGAGGTGATCTATCGCCAAAGTCGGCGCCCAGGATGCCCTTGAAGGCGGGGGTTTGATGGGCTCGACATATTGAAAGGGTCTACGACACCATCTGCTGGAGGAGGACGGGCTGGTCACGACGCACATACCTTTACCTACTTATACACCTACATACATCCACCGTCTGTTGAGAGGAAGGCAGCGGTTTAATACGAGTCCTACGATACCACAAACAACCAGCTCCGTTTCTGATAGAGGTTCTCCGTGGGGAATGATGGCGTGCTTGTTCATTGTGATTTGGCCCCTGGTGAAATGGTTGGGACAGGGCAGAGGGGAGGATGGTAGATACAGGGAGAGTGATACGGTGATCCACGCGGTATTTTTTCCGGGTTATGCATACGGTGGTGGGTTTCTTGCGATGTACACCTTAATATCATAGGAGGCGACGGTTGTCTTGGGAAACATAAAAAGCATGGGTGGTCAGATAGACGGCGGGGAATAAGCATAAGGTTACAATCTAGAGGATTTATGTTTAATGATACAGCATCTCTCTAGCAGGGCCAAAGGCCAAGTGAATGAAAGTTGATGATCCCTGGATGGCGGGGAGCAAGCAAGGTGAAGAATAAAGTGGGCCTTGACCCGGGAGCACTGACCACTGGCCCGCCCTGTGCCCAGCCTCGATCCTGCCAATGGAATTAGTTGCCCTCTCCCACCGCCCGCGCACACAAATCCTGACCCACTGTGGGCACGCAAAAATCACCTCGAAATTTTGGCAGCTCCCGCTTCCCTTCAAAACTCTCCATCGCCCAACGAACCTCCCATTGACCCGGATTTTGTCGCCAATCCACGAGTCACCGTCAAGATGGGTACGTAACCGACGACATTCCGATCTTCCAGCCTTCGTATGCAAGTGGACGAGAGAGTCTGAAATACTGTCTCTCTTGTCTGCGAACCATTCGGCAGCAAAACTCCGTTTTTGCGCTCCCGGTGTGCGTCGAGAGAGGCCTCTGTCGATATCATCACAGCCGACTTGTTGTCGCTCCGCGCTGCCCTCCTTGCGATCTGCTTGGAAGAGGAACAGCCTGCTAGCAAACACGGCGCTGTCGATTGATTGAGGAGCCCTCGGTGTCACGAACCAGCCGGTCGAAGCAAGCCACTTTCAGAGCATACTGGAACCAAAGAGGCTGACTGGCAGTCTGCGAATAGGTATCGATCTCCGCAAGCACCACGAGCGGTCCACGCACCGCAAGGCCCCCAAGAGCGACAATGTCTACCTCAAGCTCTTGGTGAAGCTCTACCGCTTCTTGGCTCGTAAGTTCTTTACCCCTCCCTCCACGGAAATGGGATGGGATCGCTAACCAGAAACACCAACCACCGACAGGCCGCACTGATGCCCCCTTCAACAAGGTCGTCCTCCGCCGCCTGTTCATGTCCCGCATCAACCGCCCCCCCGTCTCCCTCTCGCGCATTGCGGCCAACCTTAAGAACGGCAACGACAAGAAGACCATCGTTGTTGTTGGTACCGTCACTGACGACAACCGTCTCTTGACCGTCCCCAAGACCACCATTGCCGCTCTCCGCTTCACCGCCACCGCCCGTGCCCGCATCACTGCTGCCGGCGGCCAGGCCATTACCCTTGACCAGCTGGCTCTGGAGAAGCCCACCGGTGCCAACACCCTCCTCCTCCGTGGCCCCAAGAACTCCCGTGAGGCCTTCAAGCACTTCGGCTTCGGTCCCCACAAGCACAAGGTGCGTTTTTCTCTCGGAAAACCTTTGGATGAAGGCAGCACTAACCCCCATTACAGAAGCCCTACGTCGCTTCCAAGGGCCGCAAGTTCGAGCGTGCCCGTGGTCGCAGAAGATCTCGTGGCTTCAAGGTCTAAGCGTCTTTTTTCCGGAAAGAAAAAGCAGACGACAAACGACCTGGAGTTTATACCCGTGGGAGAATCAAAAAAGGGAAAAGAGTCGGAGCAATACGGCGTTTCTGGCAAATGGCATTGGCGGCAATGGTTATGGAATTTGGTCATCTCTTGTCTTCATGGGCGAACAAGATTCTGCTTTACTGTTACGAATCAACTGGCAGCACTCTGCTGGCCATGGAATGACAATGACGCCGTTGGGGCCTGCTCCGAACTTTGTGTGTGTGTGTCTGTGTGTGTGTGTGTGTGTGTGTGTGTGTGTGTGTGTGTGTGTGTCTGCCTGTCTATGATGGGAAGAAATGCGATGAATGTGAATTTGAATGGATGTCATTTGCCCTCCTAGGATGGAGTGTTTTGAGTAGTCTGTGACGTATGTTGGCAATATTTCCACGCTGCTGTTACATGTGTTTTAGCCCAAACAATAACCAGCACATGCCTCAGACCTAGTACGGCGGGACATCAGGAAACTGATGGATTGGGTCCCTTCCACGTCCGTCCCCGCGATCAAAGTCTGCTCGATTGATACATTTTGGTCTCCAGAAGTCGAGCATCTCGTCTTCTGAAAGCTTTGGCGGATGGGCAGAGTAAATTCCGCCCTGCGGCAAACCCGGAGCACCGACAACCGGCCGGGTCGGGATTGCACAGATCTCCTGTTTTGAGAGAGAAACACAAAGTCAGCATGCTTCTTGGAGATAAACTTGTTAGTAAAAATATTGAATCTTACATCAAACTTGCACTGTCTGTCACACTTTGCCCACAGATCCCACCCAATCCATGACAGAGTGTCTTTGCTGAGCTGTCTGTATCGTGCTACTTCCTGATCGTTGAGCCGAGCCTGATCACCCCAGTAGTTTGTAGTATGTTTCTCACTCAAACCAAAGAGGTCCCATTCCCATGTGCAAAGCCTTTCCGTGATGACGCTGAGGGAGTGATATAGAAGGACCTCTGGCCGGCCGAAGGTTGTTAAGTCCATGCCTGCTGTATAGGTATACTGTTGAACACCGGGTTATAGTCTGCTCTTTGGCGTTGGGGACCTCTCTGATGAATCGGAGATTATGTGGTACTCGAGATACGGGCTAGGATTGTACGTGTAAGTTCGTGGATTTTGGTAATGATCGCTTTAGTTCCTGATTTCCACTCCTCGAAACACTGCGCCAATCTCACGGGCTCGGGTGCTGTGTTGGGAGAGGGTGGTGGTGAATATAGCTTGCTGGTTTGTACCCGAATATAGGCTGTTCTTTCCAGGTCGAAGATGTAATGGTTTGTAACTATGAGTGTATTGGTTTATATTATCTGGTTGTATATCAAAAGTTGGTGTCCTTTTTTGAATCCCCATCCGTTGATAAGGCTGTCGTTGTTGCCGACAAGCTTCCCGGCGTGGTGCGATTTGGCAAGACTGGTGAGTTCTGGGTTGCAAAAGGAGATTATGCGGTAGATGTCCAGGTGGAGTCGGGTTTCTGCTAAAACCCCCCCCTCTTCAACTCGATCGTAATGCCACGATGTGCTACGGAGCCACTCGTATGAGCCCTGCTCTGAGAATATGTTGCTGAAACCGTTGGGTGGTTGGCGGTTGGGGTCGCGTGGGAGGTTTTCTGGATTATCCTGTTCCAGTTGCCGGGTACGGTAATATTAGTGATAAAGAGCTGTTGGAGTTGAGAGGTATAGTAATCGCATGATAAGAACTCAAAACCGGCGTTCATTCCCGTCAATTCCCAGCTTTTTTTACTCGAGAAAACCTTTACGAAGCCCCTTATTTATCTTATCAGCACCCCCACCCTACCTATTGACTTACATATCCTATAATATAGTAAAAAGCCTTAAAAACCAATAATAAGCGTTTAATTAATCTTTAAGGGCCTTTATATTGATTTCAGTAGCCTTTAACTATCTTTTAAGCCCTTTTAACTATCTTTTAACGTCTTTTAATTATCTTTTAACGTTTTTCAACTATCTTTTAGAGCCTATTAAATACCTTTTAACCCTTAATAATTATACTTTGTAATATAGTTAAATTCTATATTGAGGGGGCGTGCTGGTTAGATAAATAGGAGGCACCGTATAGGTTCTCTCTTTTACTAACTTGCAGAGGTCAAGAGTGCGTTGGTCTTTGTCATAGATGAGGTTGTAGTCTGGATGAAGCGGGACGTGGCCTTGGAGGATTGATATCTAAGAGTCTAATGTGCCGAGGGCGGTCAGGGTGGCGGATTGACCGTCGAAGTAGATGATGTTGAGGGGTCGAGTTGTCTGGTAGAGATGCAAGTTTGAACGGCCGAAACCACCGTAGATGCCTATTGATATTTTTCTGTATATATGTACAGGTTAGAATATCTCCAACCTATTCTTACATGGAGACATAAGAGATGATAGAGATCTGAGTTTAAAGTAAATAGGCATTCGCGTCAAAAGCAAAGAAGGTCGGCTTTTTGGGTGGACCGGGAATATGTTTGGCATGGTACACAAGAGTTGCCGGCGCGATGCTCCCGGCAACTATGAAATGCCCATTTGTGGGGTACAAGTTCGGCCGTTGTTGGAGGAGACCTTGGACCGAATCGAAGATGAAAGGTACGACAGTCTGGTAGTACTCGGAGGCGAGAGTGGGAGGTGGTTCCTGGATTGCACCCTCAAAGAGATGCAAGGAGGACCAAATGTCCAATACAATATATGGCGCAGCTAAAGGCTAAAGAATCCCAGAAATGCCATGGCATACATGCCACGGTTGCGCGTGCAAATTGTTATCCTCTTTTCGAAAACACTAGGGTAAAGGAAGATTGGATTTAGAGCTTCGAGTCGAAGGCGGCTTAGGTAACGATATCATAATAAGTCTGTCTTATCTCATCAAAGGGGACAATTTCAATCGATATACAGTGCAAGGCTCTACTGTGTTATTGTTGGATCTCGGTGCGTGGGATGAATCAGTCAGGAAACCTCTCTCAGGTGGTATTAAGGAAATGTCAGGATGAATATGTTTATGCTACATGTGGCCGGACAATGAGGAAGACACTTATCGGGGCGGTCAGCGGCATCAGCGGCTGTCGGCTATGAGTGTAACAAGTGGTCCGCAAACTCGGCTGTGTTTGCCAGTTGCCTGACGAGAATGTACACCTTTCCTGCACATGCCGCCATGCAACAGCATGTAGGAGAATGGCGTTAACAACCACAGTGTTGGTGATGTCTTCTATGGTTCATAAACTCATGAAATGGTAGGGTAAGCCAAAATGACATCGAGAGGCCTAACTAAACTCAAAGTTTCGACTGGCCTAGTAAGGGTGAATTAAGAGGGCAGTTTGGGCCCAAGTTTTTCACAGTATTAGGTAGTCCTAGCTAAGGTGACGTGATCACCGTAAAGAGCTTGCTATTTATAGTGCCATTCCCTAGTTGACATCATTCCAAGATTACTGCGTTATAACCGCGAAAGTATTCCACCCCGACCCGTGAAAGTGATGTGCAAAATTTGAGGCCTATGCCAAAGCATTGTCTCTCAATCATCAATCAATCCTCATCTTCGTCTTCCAAGTCACCAAGGAAATCCCACCACTCCAACGATAGCTGCGCATTGACAGAGTCAACGAATATGTCTTCGGGGCTGGTGGAGAGTTTGGCGTCAGCATGTCTATGTGATAGCTCACAAACGGAAAGAAGCCCATTCTCCAAAGCTCGTACAGGCCTTTCAAAACTATTGTTTGAGCCTTGGAAAGATATACAACAAATGGTCTTGAAGGCTGATCTGGGGACATGGTGGTCCTCTTTCAGCGCCATGTCTTTCCGAAACGTTGGCGGCCACCCAACTTGCAGGCCTCACGTCATCAAAAAGAAAGAAAAACTCACCCATGAATCATGCTCCCGCAAAGCTGACCATTACACTCTTGCAAAAGATCCGGATACCAGCTATTTACTTCTGCGGTTTTACCTTCTGTCAACCACACACAATCCCATATTCCTTTGCCAAAGCCCAGGTGGGGGACAACTCACCATCATTCTCCTTCATAAAAGCCCAGAGATTCTTCTTCACCATCTCGACGTTATTCAAAAAGTCCCTCAAGATACCCACCGCCTCCTCACGCTCCATAACAGACAGCCTCTTCACTCCACTCGGCAAAGGCTGCTGTCGTGGAATAGCCGCCTTCTCCTCTAACTCTTTCAGTCTCACATCCACAAGACCTAGGTCGGTTTCTGGAGATGTGATGCTCAGAAATTCCCTCAAGCCGACCACCTCGATCTCGTCAAGAGCAGGCAGCTGCACCGGCGGTCGGGCCACCTCGACGCGCGGTTTCATCCGGGCAAACGCGTACCTCGCCCAGTTGGTAGCGTGGTGAGCACGCGTCGTCCAGCTCTCCAGATCTCTCGTGATGCGGTTGTGGTGTAGCGAGACCAAAACAATCCAACTGTTGGGCTCGAGGGTGCGCACAAGTGGCCAGCAGTCACCGACGTGTTCGCCTCTCCGGCTAGTTCCGGGACGGAGCGGCACTGCGGAGCTCTCCAGCGGGATTTGGCTGATTTGGTAGTCGTTGTTCATGCCGTTCAGTGCTGGGGGTGCGGAGCAGAAATCAAAGAGCTTTTCAGAGGCCTCGACCCCGGTGGAACCGGGTTGGACTGATCTCAGAATGTACTGGATGAAGCCGGCTGCGAACCGCTCTGGTTGAAGCATCAAGTTGCCCATGGGGAAGTAGTTTGGCCAAAAGCGTTCCCGGCCTAGTCCGTACGTCTGGTGTCTGACAAACATGTGCTGGACTGGGAATATGTCGACAGGAATCTGGTAGCTAGGTATGGGAATGGGTCCGTAGTGTCGTGCCGATCGCAATGGTGTTGACAGAAAGTCTGCGACTAGGATATGCTTTTTGGTCATAGAAGACGGCATTTTAAGCATCTCGACGAAAAGCTCGGTGCTGCGCAGTTGGTCCCCTTGGCGTGGGTGTTTGGCAAAATACAGGTTCTGTATGGTTGGAAAGCGCGCCAGGACCTCAAGAACTTCCGATGGGCTGCTTTTGAGTGTATCGGCACAAAGGCTGATGGCTCTAATGGGGGTGTCTGACAACCGATTGCCCAGTACAATTGAGATAGAGTGGGCCGAGAGATTGTTGAAAGGTGTTAGGTCGAGTTGCTCCTGTCCTTCTACTGTCAGGGCAATGAGTTGCGCGATGGGTTGATGGTCGCCCAAATTCGCAGAATGTTTGATCAAGTAGCGTCGTAGTTCATTCTGAAAGTTGGGGATAGCCCGAACGTGTTCAAAAACAGAGATATCCACATCCTCCATCTCGGCAGCACCACGAACCAATGTTCTGAATACTTGGTCACGGAGAGATGGTGGCGGAAGGGGTTTCTGGGACGACTTAAAAGGCCACCCAACTGTGGTAGCATATTAGTGACAGTCTCTAATCTCCCCATTCTGCGTCGAGCAACTCAACTTACAATGCAACGTTGGCACATCCATTACTTTCCATCGAGAGGTGATTGCTGATGCCTTTTTAAACTCATCGGTAAACTCATCAACGGAGCCTCCATACAAACGTTCGTTCACGAAAGCGCACGCAGTGATAAAATCGACAACTGATAGCGGTCTTGACGAGGGAGAGCCATCTGGCCAGAGAGCTTGACGGTTTAGGCGGGACGGATGAAGATAAACGCCGTATCGAACCTTGGCCGGGTCCGACACATCGATCACAAGCATGTGACGATGGAGGGCGCGCTCAAAGTGGTGGTAGACGCTTGCCAGAGGCCAATGCCCAATGTTTTGGTTGGTGGCCGTTTGTTCACGGGTGACAGCGATAGCAAGACAAGTCGCAATGAAGGGGAACTCTGGGTGACCAGCCCGTGACGATCCTTCGTTCGGCCATGGCGGTCCAGGCTGGTTGTAGAAGTCGTAGGCAAGAGAAAGCTCTGCCCGAGTTCCAAGATAATTCAAAGGATCTGAAAAATAGCGGAGAGCTTTGGCACAGCTTGTCAAGAAGGTGCCTGAGGTGCAGTCAGCAGTGAAGGCAGCCAGAGGATAGTGTGGGGCTTGTTGGTCTGGGCCAAGTCTGGCCACAGCAAGCATGAGCCAGGGTTTATCTGGAACATCTCGATCAGGCTCATAAAATCTGGACTGGCGCCAGCCGTTCTCAGAGGCTTTTTGGTACGGCATGTTCGAAAGTGTAGGGATGTATCAGGACAAGTGGAAGTAAGTAGGTAGTAGAAGAACAGAATCAGATGTATATTACGACATTACATCAACCAAAAAATCAACGAAATCCCACAAGACATGGAAAGAGACACAGATGAGAGTTGAGGATGCCGAGAGCGGTGAAAGTGCAAGTTGCTTTTTGTCATTGATAGTGAGGTAGGTTAGTTTAAGGTTGGGTACCGAGGCTTGGGAGCGGTTACCTAACAACTGTAAGTAATACGGTTATGGCGCCAGCTGAAATCGGCCGGCATATTACGGATACCTATCGCTTACGGCTAGTGACAGCCGGACATTTCCGCCCACAGCGGGCAAGCAGTCCTCAACAAATCCACCATATCACATGGCCAAAAAACATCCGGATAAGCACAAATCACCGAAGTACACGCCTCACCCTCATCATGCCCGATCCTGATGATGGCAGCCCCTCAGTGGACAGCCCATCACCGGCACCCGTCCCAAATGACAACGCGACAACAACAACCACATCAACCCCCAGGGTCGCGTCGCCAAAGGGCACGAGGAGACGTGCTCCAAACCGAACAGTTGACGGTGGTCCACCCGCCTGTGTCAAGTGTCATGGATTCAAGATGCGCTGCATCCGCCAACCAGATCAAAAAGATTGCAACCGATGTATCAATGCCAAAATTGAGTGTGTTCCCCGCGAGCCTGGCTCGGTAGGAAGGCCACGACTGCCTCGGCCGCCCGGGTGGACGAGGAGTCACTACAAAAAAGGCCGGCGACTTGGCGATCAACTTGTGCAATCAACCTCACAAGCGGCTGAAGACCTTGATCCAGAATCATCCTCACCTTCAAATTCAACCGAGGCCACACCCCCAGAACCAACAAGCCCAGCCAAGAGCTCAGCACCAGCTCGATATGGTGGTCCCATCATCGGACTAGCAGGCTACAACGCTCTCTTGCCCAGCTTTGACGACCTCCCCCATGACAGCCCGGCCGCTACCGCCAACGCTCGTGGGAGTATCTACACAGAAAGCACCTTCAGAGCCCCTCAACAACCACAACCGCCGCTTCACCCATTGTTCCGTTCAACTCAGACCCCTCCTGAACCCCAACCCTCACCTCAACCTCGACAACAACAACCTACCGCTTACGCACCAGCAGACCAAGACCCAATAGAACAACTCGCCCGCCTCCAGCTACAAATCTACCAACACCACACCCTAGCCAAGAAGAACGAGCCCTCCATAAGAAAAGACGGCAACAAACCAACCGGCACTGAACCACTCGACACATCCTGGATCAACCCCCTCTTTCAATCAGCCTCCCTTTTCCACACCATCCTCTCTTCCTTTGCCGCATCTCCGCCTGATACAGCAACCTTTTTGATGATAATCTCAATCTACACCCGCTTCTTGCAAACGTTTGACCTTTTGGCGGATTGTATACAACGCTACATATGGTGGCACGGCATCTGTGGCTCGCCTATGGTGCAAGATGACAAGTATTTTATCAGCGGGCTGAGCGATTCGGTGGTTGTTACGATAGGGGGGGTGGAGGTGCCGCGGAGTGTGAAGGGGAGTAAGGTGGCGCTTATAGACACGACGAGGGCGGCACATTACTTGACTTTTGGACTGATGGAGAAAATTAGGGGGGTGTTAGATGGGTGGGTGGGAGGGGAGGATATGGTCGTGAAGAAGGGGGCGATGGAGGGGGTGGGGAGGTTGGAGGAGAAGGTGAGGGAGAATTTTGTGCGGACTAGATGGAGGAAGATGCCGGAGCGAGGGTGAGAGGGAGGCGGATTATGTTCTTGGACAACTCGTGACGGAGGGTGATCTAACCAAGCCAGCGTTACCTCCAAAGTCTTGGTGAGCGGATTTCTATGATTTCTATCATGGGAATGTGTTGGCTTGGCTGGCTTGCTTACTCCTCCTTAGTTCGCCGCCCGTCTTGGACATCTTATCACAGAAGACTTGTCACTACAGTTTTGCTCAGTTTCAAGTCCTTCATCACCAAGCAAAGGTCACCATTATTCCACAAACACAAATGGTAAAGAAATACAAATGCATTGTATGTATGTACACTCCCAACAACCAAACAAAACCTAGCAAACGATCTTTTATATGCACAGGATGGCGCGCCCCCTTAGAGAAGACCAAGAAAAGCTAACCAACTGACCGCCCTAGGTTCTGCTCCATTTTTCACCCCCGCCCATTTTCCCGCTCTCCCAAGCATCAACCACTTAGAGAAGGGAAGGGTTAGAGTTGCGAAGCAACATCTCAAAGTACTCCTGGTGCCAGGCACCGGCCTCGGGCGAAGGCTGGAAGGCATCGGGCTTGCCGCAGAAGCTGTCATAACGAACAGCCGAGCTGTCGGAAGTACCATCCGACTCACCGCCGGGCTTGACCCAGACGAAGGCATCAGCCAGCTCGAGGCCGGTGTCGGCCGAGGGGGGACGGCCGAAGCCGGCACCGTCGACGTTGCACCAGTTACCCCACTCCTCGCGGAGACCCTGGACACCGTTGCGGCCAGTGTCGACGATGGCGTGGTTGGGCATGCCGGCGGCCTTGAGGCGCTGGCCAAAGGTGTTGACGTAAGTGCGCTCGTTCTGGCACGAGTTGTACTTGGCGTCGGAGGCGGAGGAGAACTCGCCGGGGGACAGGTCCCAGGCGTTCCAGCCGGCCACGTTGGTGGCGATGCCACGGAACTGCTTGGGGCTGCCGGCGGCCTTGTAGGCCTTGGCGAGCTCCTCGGCGCCGGGCTTGAGGTTGGCGTCCCAGCCGAGCCAGCCGCCGTGGCCGGCGTCGATGTACTGGACGACGTTGGGAAGGTTGAGCGTCTTGAGCGCGTAGGCGACACCGTCGCGGTAGCCGGCGGCCGAGTTGCGGCAGGCCTGAACGTCGGAGTTGGTGACCAGGTTGGGGAGCGAATCGGGCTCAATGACGAGCGCGACGGCGGTGTTGGGGTGGGCCTTGAGGATGGAGGCGATGCCTTGACACAGCTGTCAGTCGTCTTTTTTCCTTGGTAAAGATGTCATTGAGGATTTACTTACGGTCAATGAACTCAGTCTTGTACCTGTTGAGCTCGCCAACCTTCAGCTCACCGTTGGAGGCCTTGGCAGCGCAATCACGGCCGGGAAGATCGTAGACGACGACACCGAGGATCTCGTTGCAAGGAACCTCGGCGAGAGCGGGCTCGAGCCTGTCAACATTGGCGATGGTGTCGAGCCAGACGAAGGAACCGGTGTCGGCAACCTTACGGGCGGCAGCCTCGAGGGAGGGGTCGGAAAGGTTGGGGATGGCGAGCTCCTCAATCTCCTTGCGGTAGAAGTTGTTGGCGTGGAGGGTGTATTGCTTGAAGACGTTGGTCTGGGCGTTGAGGGAGACGGCCGAGGCGCAACCAGCTTGTCTCTTGGTGGGCTTGTCCTGGGTGGTCGGGGAAGGGGCGGCAACGGCTGAGGCGACGAGCGCCAGAGCGGCGGCGGAGCTGGTGATCTTCATGTTGAACGACGGGGCGAGTACACTTGCTGCAGAAAGTATGAAGGCCTGAGGGAGGAAGATCTTGTTTCTGCCGAGGGGGGGAGGGTGGTCTGTCTTTATACCAGGGGACCTCTCCGCGGACTTGGCGTTGCCGTGTTACCCCCCTGAGAGTTCTTCAAGTCAACACAACAACCTCGACGAGGACTGCCCAACACACGGTTCGCCTCCCTGGCTCACATGGTTCACGCGGCTCGAAGGCACACAGGAGATCTCTCTGCAATCAGGAAGACAGGCCCGTGGTCTCGGCCAGGAACCTCCGAGGAAGGCTTGAGCCGCGCCGAGCAGTCGCCGCTGGAATATAGGGTGCGGGGCTGGTGTTGAGTGCCGAGCAAGGCGACTGGACAGGTCCAAGATCCCCATCTGGCATTTCATATACAGCTTCATTTACGCTCAGGCGACGACGGCCGGCCCTACTCTGGATTGGTGGGAGGCCAACGGGCAGCTACCACTACGATTTGCGAGGGAAATTGTGGGGAAGAGGGAACTTGCTCTCTATTGGGGTTGCCATGTGCAATCTGGGGTATTCGACCATCTCATGCACGGCCGTTCGATCTTGCCCCTTTGGTCACACTGGGATCCTAGGAGGGAGAGGGTGGCGCCGCCCAACCCCTTGCAGCCACCATCATCAGCTGCTGTGGAGAAGCACCGGGGGGGATGGCGATCGTTGCTCAATGGCAGTGGGGGCTCCGAGCCGTCAGCCGTGTTGGAGAAATCGCGACTACCGCCAAGATAATATGCGGATGCGGAACTGAGGGCGGTCGCCAGATTGTCTGCGGTTGGATGAATACTGTGAGAGGTATGGTGCCATCAGAAACCTGTGTTCATATGATCAGGTTCGAAAGGGGGTGTGAGGACCCTGAAGGGTTCCGTCCGAAGTGTGGCAACAGGACCAGAATACAATGGTGAGCATTGCTTTGGTCACGTTTGTTTCATCTCTAGAAGTGCCGACATGTCCAGTATCGACAGTCCCCCTCACTACTCAGGCACTGACCTTTGACTGGAAGGAGCGGGACAATGTCTGAGAGGCAAATGCACGATTCCCCCCTCCCCCCAAGGGATCGGATTTGGTCCAGCTGCAAAATGCGGGGTCTCCACAAAATGTCAGGCTGTTTGAGTGTTCAGGTTGCGTGGTGCGCTCTCACAGGGGCGGCAAAGTGTGTATGTGTGAAAGAGAGGGAGAGAGGGACCAACCATGTCAGTAGCTTTTTGCTGGGAACAAGGGGTGGTGGTGGTCCGGGTACTACTTTGTTTTTTTGGTTGGAACCAAGCGGCAGTTTAGATGGCTAAAATACGCCATCATCTGAAACAGAGCGTTGTTATTTGCTGGCTGCCTTATAAACGGTTATAGTGCCGCGCCCATTAAGCCGCAAAGCCCATGTATTAGCCGGCACATCCACCTTGGACGCTGCATATCTTTTTGTCTTGACAATCCCAACGAGAAGGGTCACACACACACACAGCCGAAGAAAAACTCTCCGGGCTGGCTGGGGGGGGATGCCAGGCTTTAGCCGAAGCGGCGTCAAAAGCCCGATGGAAAAGGCTTGTATTATTTGGGCGGCAAGGAATAACAATGATCACTGGGTACACACGAACAAGCATTGAGAGAGATTGTGCCTTGTTCGGCACACGGAGCCAACAAACCGGTGGCCTACCTAGGCGGGATGGGGGAGGATAATACACTTGATGATGTGCTATCTACCAGGCATGTGCTCTCCGCGCAGCGTGGAATCAATCATTGGGTCCCTTCGTTTCCTGTAAGAGATCATGCACCTCATTATTGCTTGCCCGGAACAGCAACAGCTGGAATCCGAGGAGGTGCACGCCACCACCTCGCCACATCGTCACACAGTTACACATACCCAAGATGGAGCAAGTGCTGGAAAAGCTGGGGAAGGGTAGGCAGGGGAGATCTCGGGCTATGGTACCGACTGAGGAGAGAGCAGGTATTTACCTCAACTTGACTCCCGAGTTTTCCGGTTTGAAAATGTCACCTGGATCACCACTCGCCCCGGTCTCCCAATTTCAGCAGTCTTGTTGTTTTGTTTCCGTTGAGGACGATGATTGATCCCCGGGAAGGGCTCACGGCAATTAGGACGGTAAGCAGGCCCGAGGTGACATTGTGGCTGAGGAGAGTGTGAGCCTTTTAGAGTGTGAAGTTGTAGACCGGGAATAAACTTGGTCTAATATTGATTGAGACGATCAGTTGGAGCATGCCACTCTTCGTCCACCAGTCTAGCGTTTGTATTTGGATAACCAATGGTCAGAGTAGTGTATTCAGAACCCTACAATGTCATATTTTGGTCCTTGTAGTCATGCGTGCTAACTCATGCCAAATCATCTCGAACCAAACATTGAATTAGAAGTAGACTCGAGTGAGAAACTGGGCCCATTGCAGCCTCAGCTTTTGATGCCACCAAAGGCCTGTCCCAACTATGCACAACAGATATACTACACAATGCCACAGACCACCTCACCATCTTGAAGAATCTTATACATCCCGTCCACATGCTCAAACGTAACATCTTCCCTCCTTCTCAGCGCCACATAGAAGGCCTCTCTCGATTCCTATGATATATGTCAGGTAAACCAATGTTTCCATCAAATTCCACCAAAAAATGAACAAGAGCCACAACTCACCTTCCTCGACGACATTGGCTTCTCCCTATGCACCTTTGCAAACATCTTCTTCAGCACCATCTTCAACTCATCGTCGCCACTCCCTTCGTAATACTTGCACACGAAGTGCCCGTCCGGTTTCAGTGTTTCGCTGGCAAACGTCAACGCCGCTTTGCAGAGTTCCTAATTTTCCCCCAAACATGTATCGTCATCATCACCACTTCTGAAGAGATGTCAAAAGAAAATAACCTACCATGCTCCCCGCGTGGTCCCTGAGAGAAATTCCGCTCGTGTTCATCAACCTGTGTAGAGACAAATACGGGTTACTTATGCTGTTGATTTTGAATCCTTGAGTTTGGGGCCAGGGTTCGGACATGTCGCTTAACACCACCTATTGTTTTGTTATGTTTTCCTCGTCAGCATTTCTACTCCCCCCTTTTTCCTTAAAAAAAAAAAAACTAAAAAAAAAAAAAAAAAAAAAAAGCTTACATCAACCACCCTCATATTCATGCCCTTCTCCTGTTCCAACTCCTCCTCCTGCTGCGCCGACCGCCTCTCCAAATCGATATAACTCCCCCTCTCCTCCACCTCTCCCTCATCTATCTCAATGCTCTTTTTTGCCGCCCACTCCCGCCTCCTCTCCATTTTCCTCCGTTTCAAATCCGCCTCCAACACAAAATTTTTGCACATCTCCTGCACCGCCTTGCTGAGAAAGTTTCCCTGGATGGTGCTCACCCCCTTTGGCGGCTGCGCAGGCAACAAGTCGATGCCAATCACCTTCCCGTCCGGGGCCGTCGCGTCAAGTGCCACCTGCGACCACGACCCAGGGGCGTACCCCAAATCAACGACAATCTGGTTCCTGCGGGGCCGGAAGAGGGAGTATTTTTCTTGCATCTCTAGGAGCTTGAAGGCGGCGCGGGAGCGGAGGCCTTGGACTCTGGCCGCGAGGGCGAAGCGGTCTCGGGATTGGCGTTGTTTCCACTGGGAGCTGGAGGAGGAGGGGCGAGATTGGGGGTTGTTGTTTGGTGATGGCGTTGTAAAGGTGGGTCTAAAAAAGCATGATGATGGTAATGGCGAGAGCGAGAGGAGGGTGCGATTAACGGGTCGGACTGCTGCTGCCAGCCGGAGAGGCGCCCGGAGGCAGGATAAGCTCATTGTGAGGAGTGCGATTGTGAGGGTCCCTTAAATTTGTGTAAGAACGAAGAACCGGAACTAAGTTTGGAACAAAAGAAAAAAAGAAAATTGACAATGTAAAAGATGTTGTCGTATTTGGCGAGTGTTGATGAGATGAGCACGAGAGCTTGCAGAATTGATGCTTGTAAATGCAGCTACCCGAACTTTTACATCTTGGCATGGGCTAATCCATTATGATTATCGAGTTATCGGGTATCAAAGCTCGCTTATCGACATGTCTTGAACGACAAAGCACTCTCAACATCACCAGCGACATCAAATCACCCACAACCAGACCAATTGAAGTTGAACAATGTATGCATTCGAATAACTGATACAACCAGTCATCCCAAAAGTCCCACATGTATGTAGTGTAATGTACCCAAACTCCATTCCCATGCCCACAAACTCCTATGCCATCATGAATAAATCACACACAAAATCTCAAGCCAGAAAGCTCGCTCCCACACCCCTCTTATCCCTCTTCAACGGCGAAAAGGCCTTCCCTGACCCACCAATCCCAATCACCTTGCCCACCGGCCCCTTGTTCATCCTAGAAACAGGCGGTCTCTTCCTCACACCACCAACAGCCGCCACCGGCTTCGCTGTCTCAACTACCTTCTCGTCCTCGTCCTCCTCAAAGATAGTCGGAGGCGCTGCACCGCCCAACTTCCTCTTCTTCTTCTTCTCCGGCTCCACGCTCACAGAACGTTGCCTTCCAGGCGCGGCATCTGCGGCCGCTGGCTTGGAAACAACAGCCTCCCCCTCCACGTCCGCCTCCTCCAAAGAAGGCAAAATAGCAGTCATCTTCTTGACACGACCCACAGGCGCATCCTCATTTGCCTTCCCAGGCGAGGAAGGCTCCAACGGCTTAGGCGCATTCGTCGACCCCTTCGGCCTACCCCGAGTCTTCTTCTCCACCATCTTCTTCCCCTTCGCCACAACAGGCGCGGCCTCCTCCACCTCACCCTCTGGCTCACCCGCCTCCTCAGCAACAGGATGCTGCTCCTCCTCCTCATCCACCTCCATCGTTTCAGCCGGCGCAGCAACAGCGGCGGTCTTAACCCCCACCGTAGCAACAGTAGGCGTCCCCTCCACCTCCCCAATCGAACCCACCGTCTTGTTCAAAAACGGCGTGATCGAAAACGTCGACTTCTCCACCAAAACCGACGTGTCAAACCCCCTCTTCTTAAGAGGACGCTTCGGCCTGTCGTCCATTCCCCCCGGCGTCATCAGCACCTTTTCATCCACCATCAGCTCATCCACCGTCCTCTTCTTCTTCGCGTTCGCCTTGGCTGCGCCAGGCTTCTTCAGAGGGACAGTAGTCGTGCTGCCAAGCCCAGCAGGGATAGCAGGGACCTTAGCCGTTGCCTTCTCCGCCCGCTCGTTCGCCCTTTCCAGCTCAGTTCTGCACTTCTTCAGCTCCTCAACCGTGTCCTTGTACTTGTTTTTCAGCTTCTCAACCCTGTTCAGCAGGGCATTCTTTTGCTCTTCGGCGTCTTCCACCGCTTGCTCGTTTTCTTTCCTTAGAGCTTCAGTCTCCTTTTGCTCTTGCGCCAGGGCTTTCTTGAGGCTTGTGAGCTCCTCCTTTAGCTGCTCAACCTCCTCCCCATCCGCCGCACCGTCAGTAGTCTTCTCCGCCTTGGCCGCCTTCTTCAAAGCAGCCTTCTTCTCCTTTTCCAACTCCTGAACATTCAACCTCAACTGCTCCAACTCCTCCTGTACCTCTGCCATCGCATTCTCCTTTTGCGCAGCCTGTTTCTTTTCCGTAGCAAGAGTCTTCTCCAACGCAGCCAATTGCCCCCTCAACCCCTGGATTTCCTCCTCCACCTCGGCGCTCTTCTGTGATGTCTTCTTTTCCTTGGCCAGCTGCTTCTCCAGTTCCCGGATTTGTGCTCTGAGCGTTTCCTCCTCCTCCTGGTTCTGGTTCTCGTTTTGCTGCTTCTGGAGCAGGGCAGCCTTTTGCGCGGCGCGCTTCTCGTTGGCGAGTTCGACTTCTAGCGTGTTAAGCTGTCTTTCGAGGGCCAGCTTCTCGGCGAGGACGTCCTTTTGGTGGGCGAGCTGGGACTTGAGGTGTTCGACTTCTGGCTTGAGGAGGGAGAGCTCGCGGGAGAGGGCGAGCTTTTCGGTGAGGATTTTGGAGGAGTCGACCGAGAGGTGGGAGAAGGCTGTTATTTCTTCCTATAGAAATGAAATTAATATTTGAAGGAGTGTGCAAGGGAGCTGGGTGAGGGGGGATGTTACCTTTAGATTAGAAATCTCGCGATTCTGAGTCTGCATCACCTTCTCCTGTCTCCTGCACCGTTCGTGCAGACTGTCGAGTTGCTGGCGCACATCGTCGGCTTGGTCGGCAAGATCTTTGATGCGCGCATCTCGCTGAGTGATTTGGTCCTTGAGGGTGGAGGCTTCGTCTTGGAGGAGGAGTTGCCGAACTTTGGCTCGTCGCGCGTCCTCTTCTCGGATGACTAGTTCTAGCTGGTGGGCGGATTGATGGTATTGGAGGTCAAGTTCGTGGAGTTTTTGGGTTCTCTGAATCGCATAAAACATGTTAGCGTTGTCGTGTAGGCGGTTGGTTGGCATCAATGGGACATTTTTCGCAACCTTTTCAGAGTCCATGATTACATGGTGCGACGACGCGTTTTTCGACGGCATTGATCACGTAATGATGCGCGCAAGAGCGCGAGAAGAATAACAAAAGACTGTTGGGTTAGTAAAACTGGATTGACGTCCACGAGGGAGTCTTGAAGATTCAGGGGGTGTGCGTTGCAGTGAGGTTTGGGCGACGGTGAGGTGTGATGACGGAGAGAAAGTGGTTGCGCCAGTGCTGGCCAGGGGACCAAAGCGTTGCGAACTCCAGGTTTGAGAGTAAACAATCTGCCCGAAACAGCCTAGCTGGATCCGCCCCCACCATTTCCCCACTGCTCAGCTTCTACTGCCAAGATATGACAGCCGCTGACAGTGCAGTCGCCGGGCCGGCTCGCAGCCTTGTCAGACACTGCCAAGCTACGGGAAGCTGCAGGGGTGCAGCTGGCAGAGAGCTCCAGGTCCACTGCAACGGTGTTCGCTGACGTTGAGGACACAGTTGGAATTGGATTGGATTTGGAAGAAGAAGCTATCGAGAGACGTCGTCGCTGTCGTCGTCGTCAATACCGCCCACAACCACCTTCATTTCTTCATACACCCTCCGAAATCACACAATGCGCTGGCTGCCCGCTTTCCTGACGGCCTCGCTGGCCTTTGCCGGCGGGTCGCTGGCAGCAAAGAAGACGACCGAGGAGCGCTTCAACTCCTTCCACGCCAAATCCATTGCTTCCTCATCCGCCGCCCCGATCAAGCTCAGCGATGCTTCCTACCGAGAACTCACCGGTCAACCCCGCGATTACACCGCCGCCGTGGTCCTGACCGCCATGGACTCCCGCTTCAACTGCCAGCTCTGCCGCGAGTTCCAGCCTGAGTGGGATCTACTTGCGCGCAGCTGGGTCAAGGGTGACAAGGCTGGTGAATCGAGGGTTCTGTTTGGTACTCTGGACTTTGCCGACGGGAGAGAGATTTTCATGAGTGTAGGAGCTCCCTGAACATGCAACAAGGAAAAACATATCTAACATGGGATATATAGCTCGGCCTCCAAACCGCCCCCGTCCTCCTCCTCTTCCCACCCACCGTCGGTCCCCACGCCGTCGCCAACAGCGAGCCCCTCCGTTATGACTTTTCCAACGGGTAAGCCGCCTATTTCCTCCTTCCTCTACCCCAACCTCAAGCTAACCTCTCCCCTCAGCCCTCAAATCGCCGAAGTAGTCCACACCTGGATCGCCCGCCACCTCCCCGACCGCCCACACCCCCCCGTCAAAAGACCAATCAACTGGATGCGCTGGATTTCCACCACGGTCCTCACCCTCGGCAGCCTGACAGCCTCGTACGTCGCCTGGCCTTACATTGTGCCCGTGCTCCAATCCCGCAACATCTGGGCCGCCGTCACGCTCATCTCTATTCTTCTGTTCACCTCGGGCCACATGTACAACCACATCCGCAAGGTCCCGTACGTTGCTTCGGATGGCAAGGGGGGTATCAGCTACTTTGCCTCTGGGTTCCAGAGCCAGTACGGGTTGGAGACGCAGATTGTTGCCGCTCTTTGTAAGTTTTTTTATCAAGTCAACTGAGAAGAGGGAGCATGTGCTAATAATTGGAAATAGATGGTTTGTTGTCTCTGGCGGGCATCTCCCTTGCGATCAAGGTGCCGAGAATTGGGGACTCCAAGACGCAGGGGGTTGCGGTGCTGGCGTGGGGTGGGGTGTTCTTTTTCACGTATGCGTTTTTGCTGAGCGTGTTTCGGGGGAAGAACCCGGGGTATCCTTTTAGGCTGCCTCCTTTTGTTTAAGGGAGTGATCTGGGGCGAGGGGTGGAAGTGGGGAGAGGTGCCTGGTGAAACAAGCACGAGAGAAGAAAAGCAAGGTTGTGGTGGTTCTTGAAGAAGAGATATAAAACGACATTTGTGTATAACAGTACCCTTTGCTCAGCTCAGGGGGTTGCTTCTTTTTCTCTGGGTTTTGATATGGTATTTAGCATGTAAAACGGCGTAAAAGATTTTGGAACTGGAAAATGATGAGAATCTTGAAAGCACAAGATAGCGAAATACTTTATGAAGAAGGGTAAAATAGGGGTTACCCAAGGGGCAGTGCCATGCCGATTGTGGTCTGGTGAAGAGAGTGATATTATCTTGTGACTATCCGACTGCTGTAAACATCTCCCATCCAAAGCCCGATTAGCTCAGCTGGTTAGAGCGTCGTACTAATATAACAGTCTTCACTAGGATATCCTTGTGTGTTATATGTAGTCAATGCGAAGGTCAACAGTTCAATCCTGTTATTGGGCATCCTATCTTTTGTTTTTCCAAGTCCTCTGCTGACTCTTGAAAGACCTTTTTACTCTTGCTCGTGAGGCTTTTGTGGTCGCCATCTTACGTTGAGTTTTAAATCGGTGCAGGGTCAAGCTTCGAATGGTCCTTATCAGCGCTGTCTTGACAGTTCCCCATGACAGGTTGTTTCTGTCCTCGCCTTGGTGTTTTCTCTTCTCGCCTCAGTCAACTTGGTGCTGAGTTTTGGATACCTAGATGGCATCAAAAAAAGTTTTCATCGCACAGTTTCAACTCTGTACATACATACGTATCATGCTGTTGCATGCATTCATTCCCAGCCAACTTTGCCACGCCCACTCTCTAACGGCCAAGAGTACGAAGACCAAAATGATGACACTGCAATCAGGAAAGATATGGGAGGCAAAAGCAAAATGTATCATCTCTCCCGCCGGGAATTGAACCCGGGTCTCGAGCGTTGCTGGAGTGACAAGCTCACATACTGACCACTATACTACGGAAGACTTTTCTCTGGTGTGGACACCTGGTGTAGTGTTGTGGGGCTGTTGGAAAGGCGAGAGGGGGTTGGGTATATATGTGGAGGTAGGGGAGGGAAGGTTGGCAAGGTTGGGTTGAGTTGGGGGGAAGGAAGGAGGGAGGGAAAGGGGGTGCTGGGGGGTGGAGTGGGTAGGGGTGGGTTGGCTAGGGAGATTGTTGAAGGTGCTTCAACGCGAGTTGTAAGTTCTGACAGCTAGTACCTGCTGCTGTGTTAGGATACTGCTTTACCCCCATTAGTCTGGGTCAATGAGGTGTATGTAAGGGGCATAAGTGATGGGAACGCGGGAGCAAGAGAGCAACACAACACACGAATTGTTTCAACTAGAGTCGCAAAGCAACTACAACTTCTAAATTTCCCATCCCGATAGGTGGACTCAGCTTCAAGCTAGACTTCCAAAACTTGTAATAAATCCCCATGGCTCGATCTTTACGTCCAGCATAAAGCATCATTCAAGTCCATCCCTTCGTACCTTCCTCCCCAGCTCTATCCAACCAAGTGCTTAAGCACGTTGCGCCGAGCCGGACATTCTTTAAATTCTTCCCACTCTCCCGATACAGGCGGCATGAATCCCGTTGCTCCTGGTGGTGTCATAGGAGGTGTTCCTGGCAATTGTCCCGGGAATTGAACTTCCGGAGGCATTCCCATGTCCATCGGTTGTCCTGACAAGGCCTCCAAACTGTGGTCCACCCATTGGCCCTGTCATTCCCGGTGACGGCGGTGGCAGTGGCGGTGGCGGTGGTGGTGGCATAGACCCAGGCATGAACTGTGAAGCTGCCATTCCCATAGGCGGTGATCCCATAGGCGATTGTCCCATCGGTTGTCCCATCGGTTGTCTAATCCCCGGTCCCGCTCCCGGTTGCATCGGCGGTCCCATCGGCGGCGGCCGTGCCTGTGACTGCGGGGGGAAAACAAACTGCCCGTTAGAAGAAGGCTGTTGCGAGTAATGCTGAGGAGGGTGACCAGCATGGATCCCAGGTGGTGGCGGAGGAAAATCCGGGGCAGGACCTTGAGGAGGGGTATGAGGTGCGTGTGGGTATTCTTCATGCGCATCACCATCGTCGTCATAGTAGCTGCCGTCATGGCCCTCGTAGTCCTCGTCAGAGAGATGGATGCTGGACAGGACGCTGGCCAGGTCACTGGCAGACTCAGCGTGGTGTCTTGTTCTGTACCGGCCCCTATCAGCGTCTCTACCCGAAGATTTGTGAGGACGATCAGGAGGGTGTTGTTTCCAGGCGGCGTGCTCTGAAGGGCGGCTATGAGAGCTATGGTGATAGTGACTTGAGTGTGATTTGGACTTGGACTTGGACCTGGACTTTTCTCTTTCCCTTGCATTAACATTTGCATGGGCCTGCTGACGGGGTCTAAATGGATACAGTTGAAGCTTGAATTGTCCCTTCTTGGTACTCAATTTCTTCTCCACAATCCGGCCCATTTCCGCTTGCACTGGTCGCCTACGTATCTCTTTCTCTATCTCCTTTTCGGCCTTCTCATGCTTACGCCTTGCCTGTTCACGTGAGAATGTCTTGTGGTCTCCTGCCATGAAGGCGAGAATCCCGAGAGACTTTGACATAGGGGTTTTAAGCAGACATGAGGCAGCCCGTACATGAGAGAGCATCACTTCGAGCCAGATGAACAAGTCTTCAAAGATATCAGCAAACATGTCACTGAGGATGATTAGAACGATAGGCCTCTGATGATACCTTGGGGTGGGTAATTGACAGACCTTCTAAGATACCAGGTACCTTAGTTAATAGGCCTTCAAAAATAGTAACAGGCCATCGAAGCTAGTCAACAGTCTTCGAAGATGGCCGATCTGCCCACCTGACATCGTGATATCTACCTAATTCTTTCACTGTGAACAAACTTCCATGATTGCACGCTGCTGTTTCAGATATTGCGAACTGATAAAAGTTTAGCACATTCCCTCGAGCATAGAGACAATCAACAACTCAGCTTGAGAACCGAGATAAACCTCACGGCAAAGTTCTCATCCATCCCAATCAGTGTTGAGGGCTGCTGACGTGGTCATGGCACGCGGCCCGCTCCTGGGTAAGGTCAAGTGTTTACAAAGACATATCAAGGGGTTTGAGGGACCTGAGATGGCGGGATATTAGAGAAAAGTAGGGATAAGAATGTAGTATGAGGTATCGGCGTGGCTATGAGGTTTGAAACGGTGAAGAGTTCGGTTACGCTGAGTGCGGAGAATCAGAGAATAGAGATAAGAGGTATCATATGGATGGCATTCATATCGAGGGGAAGTATATATATCAGATTATCTCAACAGAATTTTGATCCCATCTTTGCCATTGAAAGTAAGAGACTGTGTAAAGGCCAGAAGCACTGGTACAGTGGCCTTCAAAACTGAGATTGATGGATATAAAAACAAGACTAAGGCAATGGATATCTATTGATGTAGTTATTGATATTGCTGAAAAGATAGTCTCATCAGGGTTACTAAAATGCTTTCAAAATAATCAGTCGGTGTGTTTCAGTTGTCTTTCTAGACTTATGAACCCCTTGGCTAGGTAAGGCTTCAAACATAGTCTATCTGCGTTTTAAGATAGTTCCAAGGCCTGAACAGGTAACGGACAGTCTTTTAGATACAGCTTGAACACTTTCTAGCCCGTGTTATATGTCTTGAATGGACTGCGTGCGTCATTAGATTTTATTTCCATGGCTCTAAGAACGTCATCTGTTCCCGAAGCTGAAGGAAGTAAAAGTCCAATTTATACAAGCAGGAGACGACTCACAGGTACTGACATGCCTCTCAGTAAAGTATCAAATTCCAAAGCCCATCAGCTTATACATCATATCTATTAACATCCTTCTAACGCGACAGCAGCAGGTAACTCAATATCAACAACCCATGGAAACTGTGTCCCATCCTTCGCCCCTTGAATAGCCGCGTTAACAAATAAAGTACTCTTTCCCACCCCAATCGGCTGCTCATCCCCGGCACAATGACTTGTCCTCTTGTAACCCCTCCTCCGCAAATCTTCCAGCCGGCTCTCCTTCTCTCGAACCACATCCTCCGTATCCCATTTCCCCGGAAGAATACTCCCAAGATTTTCCACCAAAACAGACCCCTCGTTGTTGATGTCACTAAAGTGACTTGGCTTCTCGCTGGGTACTTCCCGCCATGCCACAAATCTGGCCCCCCAACCATTGTGAACATGCCCATAGAAGTGCATCTTTGGGCGCGCTCTGGCAACAGCAGCAAAGAGATGTTCGCATCCGAGTCTCTGCTTGGACGCTGCACGGTCGAGGATCCCATTCGGTGGGCCGTGGGTGATGACAATGTCGACATCACTCGGTATGTTGAATTCGTGGTTCTCTCCTCGTTTGTACTGAAACCCCCAGTCGTCTGCTTCGAGTGATGGCGTGAATGGGCTGGCGTAGACCGTCAATTTCGCTCCGTTTCGGAGGGCAAAACTGTGGATGCCCTTTCCTAGAAAGACGACATCTTCCGAGTTGAACAAGCATCTGGCCTCTCCGACATCTCCATATTCGGTTTTGTTGAGATCTGTATCCGAGCCAGGTAAAGCTGCTGAAATTCTGCCACTTTTTTCTCAAAAGCCATTTTGTCAAGTGTAAAACCGTGATTTCCCGCGATGATCAGTTTCAGAGGGGCATCGATGCGGTGGAGGAGGTCCAGAGATGTTTGGAACTCGTGGATTTTGAATTCCTCGGTCAAGTCGCCACAGTGAATCGCTACGTCGACTGGTACATTGGGGATCGCCAGCCCCTTCTCGGCGTGTGAATCCGAAAGAATAAAAAAGCTGGTTTTGATGGCGTTTTTCTGCATTTTGGTTGTAAGGTGGTGGATTTTGTAGGGAATCGTGGAAATTGTGGAAAGTCGTGATGATTTTGTAGACCTACGGGCGCTACGCTAGACAGTCAACAAAGAGAACACAGAAGGTGGAAAGAGCCAGCCAGGAGATTATCTTAACAAACCTTAATCAAGCCTGTAATTCTTAGAGTTAGACTTCTTAAATTGCCATATCGACCGGTACACGAGGGATTGCCAACCCCTTGGCGTGTGTATGAGAGAGAATAAAGGAGCTGGTCTTGATAGTGTGCTGCATCTTGACTGTAATATACCTAGGTAGAGGGAAAAGGAAGAATTGTTGATGTAAAGAAGAGAAAAGAGAGAGGATTATAAACGAATGTAAAGAAGAGACAAGAGAGTGGGTTATAAACGAATTGATCTCTGAATTATATACTTGATTGAAAGCGATTTACTTTTTTTAAAATTTTTTTTTAAAAAAAAGAAATATTAAAAAAGAATCATCCGAGCTTCTAGTAGCCACACCGCCCACAGGCGGTGCTGAAATTTGAAGCTTTGTGACCAAACGTAATCCGCAAGCAAACAAGAAACGTCGCGACTAAACGCATACATATACTGCAAGCAAGCGGTGGTTACCACGAGCAAGGAGCGCCATCGCTTCCCTTATGAAGATCCTCGAAGGCAGCCAGGGTGCTTTCCAGGACAGAAATCTCTGTCAAGCTATATAAAAACTTGGCTCTCAGTTGCTAAGTTTTACACGGAACCATGTGCTTAGGTCGTGTGGCGTTCGCCCTCCTTCAAGCTTTGAACTCTATGCCTCTCCAGGCCAGCAGTCTCATCCAACTCTACAGGCTCACCCATGGTAATCTCGCTCTTGGGTGAGTTAATAAGGGGTGAAGGCATAGGCTTCGATACCTCTTTGCCTTCCCAGTGCCTAGCCTCCCTCGCCAAAGGGCGCCACCAATCCCCTTCCCGAGCATGCCACTGCCCGCTGCATAGCTCCCAAAGTCTACTCGTGGCTCTCTTGTACGCGAATCTTTCGTCTTCACCGGTGAAACCCCCGGTTTTGGTAAAGTCAATCTTGCTCTCCTGTTCCTTGCCAAAATCCGAGTCCTGATCCGGATCATATTTGGCATTTCTGGAGTCGGCATAAGTAGAGATGTTGGGCCGGAAGGGGGACATTTGATCTTGGAAAACCTCTGCAATGGTCTCGGAATAGGTAGCATCATCGACAACCTCAACTTGGGCCGGAGTGGTCCCAGTTCCGTCCGTTGTTCTACCCGACGCCCTCATCTCCGGGAAGAACAAGTCATCAGGGCCGACCTCAGCACGAACAATGAGCTTGCAGCGTGACTCGTACAGGGCGTCCAAAAAGGTGATGAAGCTTCTGGCCTCGTTCTTCATGGAAAAGTCCAAACCAGGAATCTTATCAATGATGAAGGTGTGGTAGTTGGACGCCAGACTGATGTAATCTGCGGGACCTAGAGATCTCACGAGTTCATCAAAACTCCAGCACGCCACTCCGTGTCGCTGTCTGGGAGCAGTTACCTTCCTCCCATACACTATGTGAGAGTATGGCTCCCAATCCCCAGTGTCTGAGTAAATGGTTTGCCATGTTTCCTGATTTTGAGATGGTAGGAAATACATCGCTGGTGCCTGTGCCGAAGAGTTGCTTTCGACCTCTTCATGGCCATGCTCAGCAGTACTGACGGCTGTTCTTGCTGGCCAACTCTCGGCATGCAAAGTACCAGATGACTCCGCAACAGGGAGAGTAGCACTGCCATGGCTTTCCCTTCTCCGCCAGTCCCGCGTGCCCTCCATGTGCCAGAAGTCACATCGAGCCTTCAGAACTTCCAGAAAGCTGGCAAAATCACTCGTCTTCCCAAACAGCTCGCCATACTGACTCTTGCCATACCCTAGTACCCTTTCCACAAGTCCACCGGTGGTTGGTGGCGAGTAGTAACCACCCGTGGCTTTCTCAAGCTCCTCGGGCATTCTGTTGGACGAAGCAATGAGAACACCACCCAACTGGAAAAAGGCAATGAAAAGATTGTTCATGATCTTGCTGGCGGCTCGATCAGGGAGCTGAAACTCATCAAGAAAGAGAATGGGAGACTGCTCAACCATTTCCTTTGCTATCCACAGCAGCGAGTACTCTGCGCCGTGTGTTGACAAGACCTTGGAGTGCGACTTTCGGAATTCTTCCAGCCGTGAAAAGGCGTGAAGCATGAATGTGTTATAATGCCACCTCTTCTTCCCTTGTGTAGGAAGACCCTCGGCCAAGAGATCGAGCAACATCGATTTGCCTGTGCCCACCTCGCCCGACAGAAAAAGCCCTTTGGGAGAGTTTACATGGAGAGCGGCTTGCTGGTCAGTGAGTGTTCTTGTCAGGGCAAGACTGTCTTTGCTGTCGTCTCGCTGAAAAAGTTTGGAAAAGAGAGGATTCCGACGAATGGGATGGGTGGGAGACGCTATATCGTCTCCTCCATGTGCACTCGTGGTGACAGGATCAATGGCTCTGGCAATCTGGCCCAGCCTGCTTCGATACTCGTGGGTGGGTTTGTAGTCTTTGAGTCTTGTGTATATCTTTTGGAGGTGGTGTGCGAGACGGTACTGTGCCGCATCAGGGCTGTAAGCACCTGTAGCTATCAGGGACGTGTACTTGACAAAGGGGTCAGTGATGGTGATGGATGTGGCCGCTCGGTTCATGGCTGTTGATTCTCAGTCTCTCTATTGCCAGAAAACATATCGAAATGGAGAGATATTGGCCAGATTGCTATCTTGGTTATTCCACGCCGACAAGGTTGGATAGTGAGTGTGTCGTTGGTGGTGGGTGGTCGTTGCGACGGAATATACCGCGACGGAGCCCCAATCCGCGATGATGTCACTCACTGTCCGTGGTCCCCTAAAAGTCCAGAATTTGCTGACTGCAACGGTGGACTAACCCATTGCGCGGCCTTTCCTCCTGATGGCGAGAAAATGGAATGAGAAGAGGGAGCTATGGCCAAAAAAGAAAACAATGAGGTGAAAGGTAAAGAGGGATCACAACTACCAAGTGTAAAGGAAGTGAAAAGGTAGTGGTCGAGAGGAAAGTTCCCAAAGGCTTTTCCGAAAACATGGGGATTGTTAGGGGGAGACTTCGATATCAAACGATGGCCTTCGGTTATACCGCCATGCCATACCTTTGCATTGGATACAAAGCATCAAAATAACTGGCTACAAAGCTCTAAAAATTCCCCTTCAAAGACATACAGCTTTGTTTAAGGGTTCACAAAGGCATTGTTAGACCTTAGCTGCGCTCACTACATCCTGAAATCACCTGGAGATGCTGCTCTCCCAACGTCTCGATTTAACACTATTTTTGCGGTGGAGATCACAGTCTTGGCCGTGCTCCCCAATCGGGTGCTAGCGCGAAGAAAGCACTGGCAGCTTGGTCTCCACGTTTTGCGGCTCGGAGCCAATCAGGTATCAATATCTTTTCGACCAAAGTCAACACAGGCCAATCGCTGAAGGCTTCGTCACTCGTGCCTGTGGAAAGGTCAAACCGAAAAGAAGCGTCGCCCTTCAATTCCATCCTCTTCCGCCCTCTCCAGAACCCGACAGCAGCCTGTATTTACCTTTTATCAGCGATTTCGAGCATCCTACCCATTCCACCAGAGACATGCTGAGATAGAGCATCGACTACCCGATTTCCACGAACCCCAGTGGCGTCTCTCTCAATCGGCGGTCCCGTCGCCAGGTCGCGCATCATCAGCACCTGAAGAAAAAAAAACATCACCACATCAAGTCGCGACCGCGAACTCGATGTTTGCGCCCACTCTCCAAGAAGGCGGGCCCGCGAAGGGAACCCGCAGCAGTCGCCGTCGTCAGCGACCTTTGAGCGGCGAGAATTCAGCACAACAACCCAAAGCGAAACGGCAAAGACTGCCATTGTCGGAAACGACTTTTGCGAATCCCGATGCCGCTGCCACTGCCGCGCCCGAGAACTTTGAGGTGAAGTCGGACCAGCTCGACCTGCTTGGCGCGAAGAGCGACGGCATTGAGAATGTCGGCGTGCCGCGACGGGAGCTCAGTGTCCGTTTCAAGAAGCCAAAGGCCGGCGAGAGACCAAACAAGGGCGATGGGAGTGTTGTTCTGGTATGTCTCCCATGCGCCATGGATGATCTCGATGTATGCTGACTAGTTACTCTTTACAGACACAGAACAATGCGTACACAGTGAGCAAGCTGCCAGCGTTGCCGGATAAGCTCCGCGCCGACGCGCAGAGTAAGACCTACCTGCCTGTACCCTTGGGCGAGGGAACTCCACGTGGACTTGTGATGCTAACTCCTCTAAAAGACCAACAGCAGGGTGCCATCTTTTCTTCAAGCGGCTATGCCCTGACCCTCACCCATACGCACGCCTTCGTCTGGCCATATGCATCGACCGTCTCGTCTCCCGAAACATTCGTCTTCACACTCCCCTATCCCTCGAAGCACGTCAACGACCCTCTACCGCTCGGCTCCCTAGTACCACCATCCGCCGCCTCCGATGAACCGGGTCTGGTGGTTGTCATGCCCGTCAGCGGCAAAATCGCCTACTGGGAATCTATTGCGAGCGCCGCTACTCTCGACTTCATCCGCCAGCAACGGAACGGGGTCGAGGACACCATCCCGGGTATGTTCTCCGGAGAGCATGTCCTTCAGATTGTAAACGCGGAAACTTCTGCCTTCGTCCTTGTTCTGAGCAGTGGTCGCCTTGCCTACATGAGCGTCAGGGATACCCACGGCCGACCTGGAATCTCCGTCCAATTCCTCCGCGACGGCTTGTCCAACAATCTGGTGGGCTTCCTTGGCAACATCCGCAACGCCTTTTCTGGCTCCTCATCTCGGACCGACATTGCAGCCGCACGGGCAACACATGGGTCGAACGTCGGAGAGCGCATCATTGCCGCCGCTTCCACCAAAGGGAGATTATGCTTTTGGAAGATCCATCGTGGCGGTCAGCACGAGTTGCTTATCGACTTTCCTCTGCGAGATGCCTTGAGCGAAGCAGTCCGCGCAACCGACAAGAAAGCTCAGGAGTTCACACCGGATTCTTTTGAGGTATTGGACTTTACCTTTGTACCACGAGGCGTTGAAGACAAATACATTAGTGCCAGTCGACTCAACAAGTATGACCTTGAACAAGGGATCGACACGGTACAGCATGGATTGTTGCTAGTATCACACTCGGACAGGCGCCAGTCTCGATATGCCATTGTGGAGGTGACGATCGAGGAGGGTGACTATCGACTTGGTATTGTTCGCCCGATAAATTCATACACCACCCCCGTCAGACCTGTTGCTGCCGAGAAACCCCGACTCCACCTACCACGTCCAGCACTTGTTGCTTTCGTCGTATTTGACCGGGCCGTAGTTGTTGCCTCCATGGGCTTGCTCCCCGAGTCTCCTGACGTGCAACTGCTGGACGACGCTCATGTCTTACCGCCAACGTTTGAGGACGTGATCGACTTTCGAGATGAGGATTCATTACACGTGGTTGGCTCCGGCAGCGAAGAGCCCAGCAGCAATGATCCGGGTCAAGATGGGCAGCGTATCCACCGATTTAGAACCAAAAATCCAGCCGTCGTGCTCTTGTTGCAGGGTGTTGGGACTGTCAGGGTTGCCGTGACGGATGTGGACCGATTCACTACTAACCAGCCGCCACAAATCACAGCAAAGAGCAAGCTCGAGCAGGCCGTCTTCTTTGGGGTCAAGGGGGACAACCCGCTCGTCTTTCGGGGCAAGAGGCAACTTCCTTTTTCCGCGCAGGATATTGGAACAGCCGCTATCCTGCTCAGCAGCGAGATCCTGGGCTCCAAGACACCTTTCATTTCCAACATCTCAGCCTCCCTCGAAAACAACCTTCGGCTACGGATCAGCTATCTGGATGGCCTAATCTCCTACCTTGGCGAGCTCGCGATTGAGCTGGATGCCCAAACCCGCTGGAAGTTGCTCTACAACGCCGAAAAACTGGCGGTTGCAACATATGTGTGGCAGAAGCATGAGGACTTCCTCGCACAGCGACCACAAGGAGAGAGAACAGTGGTCACGGAAATCGTTGCCTGGATTCATGAAAGCCAAAAAACGGACCTCAACATGGCGGTCGGAGAGGTTGATCCTGTCCGGCATTGGTTTATTCATGACGTCTGGAGATTCGACATCTTCCTTGCTTGGACTTATCAGGTCATCAAGTACATCTACACAAAGGGAGTTGTCAACTCTGATGATGAAATCACGCGACTGGCATGGGAAGCCGCTACTGTCGAGAACGGAGCGCTTGCCGAGGCCCGGAAGTTCCGTCTCTCCAGGGCTAATGACTATGGAGTGAGCGGCACTGAGGTCCCGGGCGGCACCGGATTCCCAGAGCCCTGGTCTGCTACTCATCTCATTATTCACAACCACAAGCGACTTGTTGAGTTCTGTTTCAAGTGGCTCGACTCTCATCAACCAGCACAAGAGAGCAACCCCGCCAACAAAATTCTCCTCGAGTCAACCCGAGGTCTGCTGCCACCTTTGATCAGCCAATACCTGCAATCATTGATCGACCAGGCCTCGTGGGCTACGGAAAGTGAAGTCTCGGAAATTCAGGAACGCGGAAAACTCTATCTGAAGGCGTACGCGGAGGAGGTTTATGACAAGGTAACCCGTCTGAAGGACTTTGAACTCTGGGAGGAGGCTATCCAGCTTGCCAAAGAGTACAAGGGCTTTGACGCCCTTGCCGAAGTCGTTGTGCAGCAGATTCTGTTGATGGAGCAGAAGGCCGCCAGCGCCGTCCCCCAAAACGCCGAGAACATGCAGTTCCAGGTTGAAGAGAAGAAGAAGCGTATGGGCAGGCTATTTGACGACTATGGAGCGAACTTTGCCTTCCGTGCTTATGAGGTCCTGCTCGAGAACAGTGGAGTCCAGGCCGTTCTCGACTTTCCATACGACAGACATGGCTTTGCTACGCTATTCCTCCGGGCCAAGCCTGAGCTGGCCAAGATTTCATGGATCAACGATGTCCAACGAGAACACGATATTGACCATGCTGCCGAAACTCTTCTCAATCTGGGTCTGAGCTGCAAGCAGCAGATCTGGAATAAGAAGATTGAGCTCAGCCTGGGCAAGCTGGCCTTTATGGCTGAGGAAGCTGAACAGTCCACGAATGGAGACCACGCCAGCAGCGCATTCACTGATCTTCTGGCCAAGACCAGCATCAACCTGGAAAAGATTGAACAAGAGCTGGAGATTATCAAGATCCAGGACACTCTCTACAAGACCATCCTGCCCATCATCAAGGAGGGGGTTGACGAGTCGGCGGAGCTGGAGCTTCTTCTCAAGGAGCAAGCCGTGCTGATTCCCAAGAGGCAAAAGGCGCTCCACCGGATTTTTGAGGACGGCATGTCTCGCTTGCTCAAGCACGAGGCGTTGCATCCTGCCACCTTGATCGACCTGCTCACGCTGGGCGACCTGGGCGAGCAGTACGAGCACGTGATCCCGGACCCGTTCTGTCTGGCCCTCAAGGTTGCTAAGTACGGCCTCAAGGGCGAGGAACGTGCCAAGGCGGTGCGGCTGATATGGCGTCGCTGTTTTGTTCGCGACGATTGGAAGGCTGTCAACCAGACTAAGAACAAGGGTGACGAGGCGCAGCTGACGTTGTTGGGCAACACGGCTACCTATCATGCCCTCTTTGCTGTTTACGAGCAGAGTAAGTTGTTCATTTGTCAGGGACTGGATCACATGCTAACTGCCCACCACGCAACAACAGGACTCTCAGACGACAAGTTCAGCCCGTTTGTCAAGCCTTCGGAGTGTTTGGGGGTGTACACGGAGGAGGTGGACCGACGGTTTGGGAACTTGGACGAGCAGGCGCAGCAGAAGATATTGGAGAATATGAAGTGGGAGGATGATGAGCTGAGGGGGTATGTTGAGAAGGCGAGGGCGGATGCGTGGTTTCTCACGACGAGCGAGTATGCTGAGAAGACGGTGACGGCGGCGTTTAGCGAGCTGACGGCGGCTGGGAGGTCGAGTGTTAATGGGGATGGTGGGAGCGAGGAGGCGGCGATTCTGAAGAAGTTTGCGGAGAAGGCGGCGGCGGGTAAGGATGGGGGAAAGAATGGGGGTGGGGGCTTGTTTGCGGTTTGAGGGGTAGGAGAGGAGAGGATTGTTTGTGGGGTTTTTGTCATGATGATTTTTTTGCTGTTATTGCTGAAGGGAAGGGAGTGAGCGAGAAAGTACCTAGGGAACGAAAATGAATGTGGGCGTCGGGGGGTGGGGGGGTTGGACTGTCTTTTTTTTTCATTTTTTTTTCATGTTGATGTTATTAATGGGATGGGGACACACACACACACACAACACACACCAGATGAATGTGACTTCTTTTTTCTCTCTTCTGTCTGTTTTGTTCTCATAACTATCATGATGTTGGATTTGGAAGGGATGGTGGTGGTGGTGGTGGTGGGTGGGTCGGTGGTTTAAGGCGATGTGTTTTGGGCGGGGGGGAAGGATGGGAAATACAACAACATTGTTGAGACATAGGCAATGACCAAACTGAAAGTGTAGAAGTAATTCGTCATATAGGCTTGCTACTTTTGCTGCTTGGGAGTTTTGACTTTTTTTTTCTCTCTCGTTCTGATGGAGTGGGGTGAAAAAGGGGGTGAGAAGCAGCGTATGGAGGTAGTTGAGCATGAGAATTTCTTGAGTGACATACAAGCTAGCTAGGTGGCTTGAAAAAAGATGTGTGAATGAAGTGAATAATGTGTTTTGATCCGAGGACTGCTGGGAGATGGGAAAGGAATACTTAATAGGATGGGGGGAGGGTTGCACAACATGGATTGTGAACTTCTTAAAGGAGCAATGATTGCTGTGGAGGGCTGAGAGTTTGAGGGGGGACTGTGTTCCGGTGGCGTTTCGGTGGTGGTCAGAGGAGGTGAGTTTCTTTCAGGTTTTTATTATCTCGAGTCGTCCAACACCAGCGGGAAGGGGGCAAACAGGTGCTGGTTATTAGTTGGAGGATGTGAGACAGCCACCTGGGTAGGCAAGCGAACTGAAGATGCATGTCATCGGAAGGTGCACCCGTTGACAACCCTCGAGGATGTGTGTGTGGTCTTTGTCGCGAGAATCAGCGTTGATCAGAGCACACAGGTACCCTGGAAGAAATATGATAAAGATCACGAGACCATGAAGCTGTGTTCGAGGATATAGATGTATAGGATATCATTGGCCACAGTCTGATGATGCCCCCAAAGTTTGACATTTTGTCAAACACATCTGATTCGCCGAATGCAAGCCTCCGGTTTCTATTTCCGAGGAGAATAATAATTTCCCATCCTTTTCTCCCCAGCAAGAGACGCGACAACCGCCGCCGCCGAGGCGAGAAAGTTTTGAATGAAATGGTTGGGCTATCCTTAAATTTACAACGGAAAAAATCACTTTCGGTTGTGGTCGTCGTCGGAAATAAATTCAACACTGGCGAGATTTTGGCGTATTGGCACCAACGGGCATGCCGTCGTCCCTGCATTTTTTTATTTTACTGTACTGCCGGGGACCGAGAGCGAGACAAGCGCTTAGAAAGATGGAATCTAGAACTTTTCGGGCGGTTATATCAAGGAATGCCACGTTGTTAACCGCGCTGGAAAAGGAAGATGGAAAATGTTTGTCTTTTTGTTACCATACCCCAGGATGAGGAATTATGGGTGGTGGGACGATGCCCAGAGATGCTTGGTGAGTTGGCCTTGCAGGCTGCTGTTGCAGCTGAATGCTGTGGGGGGTTTCCAGGTTAGAGAGAAAAGGCAGGTCTCCGAGACAGGATGTCCAAATGAGGAAGGATGGTATGGATGGGATAGAGTGTTGTGCTGCAGCAGGATCATGATGGTGATGCTTTCGTGGTGGGTTCATCAATGTTCCCCAGCCTCGTCCATCGGGATCGTGTTGCATTTGTGAGCTACACTATTCCTACCTAGAGCCGCCAAGACTTCAACGTTTTTGGCTCAAGGGGGCAGTGAGAAAAGAAAGAAAACCCTGGTGGTGATGGAGCTTGTGATCATCAACTTGTGGTAACAAAAGCTTGGGTTCCCTTCGGCTTGACCCGGTGGCCTCACCTTGAGGCTAGGCTGGTGGGCTGCTTGACAGGCGTGTTCATCAGAAGGAAATCAATCAATCAATCAATCAATCAATCATCTCGACATTGGATCTTCAAGGAAGGAAGTGGTGTCTGATCTGACGTCGTTTGGATGATGGCCTCTGGCAATGATGAGATGAAAAGCGGGACGGAAAACAGACCCAGCCTCGCAGAAAAAAAATATGCTCCCCAGACTTTTGTTTGAACAGGGGTTACCCTTCAAGCAGCACCAGGGCTGTTCACCGTCACCGCCTCCTCCTCCGTCCCGCAACTGCATCTCGCCTACCCGTTTTACTCTACCGCGTGTTCTCCCGTACCGCACCACCGTCACCGAGACCCGGAGCGAGGACCGAAAGCCTTGTGCCTTTGTGGCAGATGAGAAGCGTATGACGGATGGATGGACCAAGATGGGGAACGGTTTGTCCTACCTTCCTCTTTGCTTGTTTGCATACTGTAGCCAGGAGCAGTAGTGTCATGCGCCTCAGCCCATTGGCCCCCTTTTTTTATGATGCCGCCGCTGGACGAGATGCCGTTCCGGGAAAGCTTCTAGCGGTGGAGATTTGGGGGTTGGGAAATGGATCTCAAAGAGGGTCGTTGGCCTCGGCCATGGATTCTTGATCTCTCTCCTCTCCTTTCCTTTCCTTTCCTTTCGGCATCAACTGCTGGCCCAAGTCTCTTTTATATGACGACGGCGCCTGGATTTCAATGCATTGGCCAGTGACAAGATTGCAAAGTTGTATCTCTGCTCCACCGTAAATGGAAGCTTGATCGGGAGCGAGTTTTCTTTTCGGGCGTGAACCGTGGGTGGGCACATGGGAAAAAAGCACGGGGCACATCAACCTGGAAATCCTGGTCTGAATGGAAGCGACGGGCAGCTAGTTTCGAGTTTGGGTTGGAGGAGCAGCAGCCTCATGTCCTTGATCAGTATCAGAAGCATGGCGATATCAAGGTAACAAAGTTTGAGAGGCAAAGCTCTGCAGCCGTTTGGCACAAGCATCCATTGGATGACAGTTCAGGTCATGTTGAAAGCCCAGAGGTCGTGACTGGATACGAAGAAGAAGACTGGGGCGCTTTGCCTCTGTGGGATTTTGACCGTGCACGGCTAGCCCCCTGTCGCGGCCCTCGACTCCGCTGGCCTGCTGCTGCGCTGCCCTGGCACTGGCCGTCCCCTTCTGTTTCGTTCGTCCTCCTTTAGCTCTCCCTTTGCATTTGCCTTTTCCTCCTTCTCCCATTCCACCTCTCCGCCACACCGCACGACCATCGCCCATCCATCACAAACCTGTGTGCCTGAGCAAGGGCCGCAGACGACAAGTCGTGTTGGGGCCGATTCGGATAATCGCGACACCCAAGTCAATTCGCTTTGTCTGGTGTTTTGGTGCCTGGAAGAAGAGAGAGAGAGAGAGAGAGAGAGAGAGAGAGAGAGAGAGAGAGAGAGAGAGAGAGAGAGAGAGAGAGAGAGAGAGAGACAGAGAGAAAGACGGGAGAGAGAGACCCGTCGACTCGGTCAAGAAACGGAATCGTCAATTCAATCCTCCCGCCCTCGCGCCCACCGCCACGTCCACTATCCACCCACCCAGCTCGAACACGAACCGCGACCGCTATCCCGACGATCACCGACCGACAGGACAAGACAGAAACCTTACGCCCGCAATTGCTTCGCCTCGCCCGACAGCTGAGAGAGAGCTCCGCCCGCCCACCGCCTGGCCCAGGGGTTCTTTCCGCTCACTCCATCCACCTTGACGTCTTGTCCAGAGAACATCGGGTGAGTCTCTCCATACGCCACCCCAATTGTTTATCATTCGCACCGCATGTGCACATTTGTTTCCGCTTCGGCATATTGGTCCAGCCAGTCTTGCCCACTGCCACACACCAAGCCGCCAACTAGGCTGCCCTGTTCACGATCTGGACCGGCAACGCACACGACGCCAAATCATTTGGCCGATGGACCACAAGCAACTCGCGACTGACATCTAAGTCTGCTATAGATTTACTCCGAGACTGTGCCTATACATACAATTACTGTCGCGTTGCTCCTGATCGCTGACGATCGATTCGCCCGAAATGGCGTCGTCATCCTCCAACGTTGTTGGTGTACACTATAGAGTGGGAAAGAAAATCGGAGAGGGTTCGTTCGGTGTAATTTTCGAGGGCACAAACCTCCTGAACAACCAACAGGTTGCCATCAAGTTTGTACGTGAATCCGACATCTCGTCAAGGGTAGAAGCAAATGCTGACGCGACGTGATTGCAGGAACCAAGAAAGAGCGATGCCCCCCAACTGAGAGATGAGTACAGGACATACAAGATCCTTGTCGGGTGCCGTAAGTAGACATGTGCCCACCCATGATGGGCGGGAATGACCTCAGGCTAACCTTGTCGCAGCTGGCATCCCAAATGTCTACTACTTCGGCCAAGAAGGTCTGCACAACATCCTGGTGATCGATCTTCTCGGTCCATCACTCGAGGATCTTTTCGACCACTGCAACCGGAGATTCTCCCTCAAGACGGTTGTCATGGTCGCCAAGCAGATGCTGTCCCGCGTCCAAACCATCCACGAGAAGAACCTGATCTACCGTGATATCAAGCCCGATAACTTCCTCATCGGCAGGCCAAACTCCAAGACTTCCAATGTCATCCACGTGGTCGATTTCGGTATGGCCAAGCAATACCGTGACCCCAAGACGAAGCAACACATTCCCTACCGCGAACGCAAGTCGCTTTCTGGCACTGCTCGTTACATGAGTATCAACACCCATCTTGGTCGCGAGCAGTCGAGAAGAGACGATCTCGAGGCCCTTGGCCACGTATTCATGTACTTTTTGCGCGGTGGTCTTCCCTGGCAGGGTCTCAAGGCTGCTACTAATAAGCAGAAGTACGAGAAGATTGGTGAGAAGAAGCAGACGACGCCCATCAAGGAGCTGTGCGAGGGTTTCCCCGAGCAGCTAGTGACGTATCTGACATATGTGCGCAACCTCGGCTTCGAGGACACGCCCGACTATGACTACCTCCGTGAGCTTTTCACCACGGCGCTCAAGGAGGCTGGCATTCCCGAAGATGGAGAGTATGATTGGATGAAGGTTGGCAAGCCCGACAGGAAGGGGGACTGGGATCGCCCGGGCGCTTTGCACAACCCAAACGCCCGCCCCGGGGCTTCGGCCATGGAGATCCACGGCAACTCGAGGGGGCCGACGACACACCACCAAAGCGACCCGCGAGCCCCTCAATTGAGCATGTCGCATTTAAACGCCGGGAAACCCCTACCGCCCCAGCCGAACCAGAGGCAGTCGAAGCAAGGACGGCCAAACGCGCCCGCCTTGGGAGCCCAAAGGCCCGCGGTCGGGGGTTACAACATGCCAGCAGCGACACTACGGGATCAACCCAAGCCCAGTTCCAGACCAGCACCCAGAACCTGCCGCAACGACCGATGGCACACTCGCCCGCCATACCTGCTCCCCAGAATAACGCTCAACCACAGCCAACAGGCTTCCAGAAGTTCATGAAGACTCTTTGCTGCGGTTAATGGGTTTTGGTTGTTTTTTACGCGTTGATCTGGCGTCTTGCTGAGTAAGCTTTGCCTTTTTGTTTTGCCTCGAGAGTGTTGACAAGCAAGTCGGCTAACTTGTTGGATCAGCGTTGTAAGCGGCAGCCGGCGGCACGTTCTATATAGAGGCTTTCGAAGATAGGAGTCCTTTATGATTTGTCTGCGACATGCGTTGTTAGTTTTTTTGCATGGGACATTAGAAGGACGCCTTTCTTACACGGGGGCGCATTCCAGCACATTTGGCGCCTTTCCTGGACATCATTACGATTACGATAATCCCGGTCTCTCCCTTTTTTTTCTGTCTTTGTCTTGTCTTTCTGGCCTTTGACCTGCTTGCAGCTCTCGCGGAGGATGTTGGTAGGGCTAATAACTACTTCTTGGGCTGGCCTGGCAGGGGAAAATATCAGTCTTGACTTGTTTGGCGCCTTGGGGGAACGTTTTCACTCTCACTCTCACACTCTCACTCTCACTCTCACTCTCACACATTACACACACACCACCACACATACTCACAGATAAACTCACTCTAATAATCAGCATCCCTTTTGAGAACATACAGAAAAAGAACGGCATTGTAACAGGGCATGGTTTCATCACTTTTTTTTTCTTTTTTTTTCTTTTGACTCGTGTGGTTTTTTTCTGGCTGGCTGGACAGGGTGGTGTTTTCCTTTTTTTTTTTGGTTTTCTTTTTTCCATCATCGTCTTGTTGTTTTTGCTCGTCCAGAAATAATGAAAGAATCTCTCTCTGTCTCCAAAAGAAAAACACAAGCACGAAGAGAAAGAGCCCCCTTGCTATGTTCAGCAGTCAGTCAGTCAGTATACACTCGAGTTATTGAAAAAGAAAAATTGATTCCGAACCCAACCTGCCCTGTTTTTTGCCTGGTGTATGTTTTCTTTGTTTTATCTGTCTGTATAAGCGTGTGTGTATGTGTGGGTGAGTGGGTATATCATTTCTTTTCTTTTTTTGTACAAGACTCTGGGCGTTGTAAAATGGGACAAACATTGTCGTTTTTGTTGTAATTGTTGTTGTTGTTGTTGTTGTTGTAATGTCTTTTTGTTGTTCGGCTTTTTGGATATAGTTTAGTTCGTTGTCGGCTTTTTGGATATAGTTTAGCTCGTTGTTGTGTGTTTTTCCTTGACAAGAGCTGTCTGTTTTCCTATGTTGGTGTATAGGCCTTTGGTGCGTGTGGTAATAATGCTGGTTGTGAGGAGGAAAGTCAAGGGGAGGAGGGAGTCAAGTCGAAGAGGGTAGAGAGCGGACGGTGTTGGGATAAGAGCGGAAGGTGCTGGAGAGGAGGGTTGATTTAGACGGAATGTTGAAAAGATAACTTGAGGGTGTGAAGGGTTGGAATCTCTGGGATAGATATAGTTGATATAAATCTGTGGTGTGTATAACGAAAGGATTTGGTAATATTTTTCTGGTCTCATCACCTCCAGTGAGCAAGCACATCATACAATATCCATCCAGGCACCACATTGTATCTGAAGAATTTTGGGTTTCCACTGACACCAGCAATGTTTATAGGACCATTTTCCACCTCCAGCCTTGAAACGCAATCCCTGGTCTTTATGGTTTCATAACTCCCACGACAGACATACATACATTATAGACAGAAAGACAGACCATTTTCCCATTGGAAAGTCTCCTTTCTAAATTTTATAACCACAACCACCAACCACGGCAACAACCAACAAACAAACATTTCTTATTTCGACATATATAAAACGCACACACACCCCTCATCTCCTTCTTTTTGTCATGCCCCAAAATTGTTCTCTCACGTTAGCTTCTGCTTAATAAAAAAGCTCCTAAGATGGCTCAGCTGCCAAGCACAGGTACCAGCAAGGACAAACAATTGAATCAAGATCCAGCGGACGACGCGAGCGTTGGTGGACTCGGATTGATCGCGGAATTCGGCTTCTCTCTCCTATTGTTCCCCTCATATCAGCACCACCCCATCTCCCTGAATGAGAGCAACTTACACGTTGAAACACCTGCTCCCTCCTGATGTCATTCAGCCTCGCGTTCAGGTCCTTGACCCGGGTGGCCAGGTCGGCAATCTTGGACTTGTCGCTGCTGTCGATGGCCGAGGTCTCGCCGATGGCCATGTCGAGGGTGAGGCGGATGCCACCGTTGGGCTGGGCCATGCTCAACCAGGAGGAGCGGCCGCTGGAGGAGGAGGGGGTGAAGCAGATTTTGTGGTCGCCGGCTTCGGCGGCGGTGAAGGTGAATTTGCCCGAGGGGCCGCCGCGCTGGGAGACGACGCGGTGGTCGTTGTCGAAGATTTCCTGGGGGGCACAAAGTTAGGAAGGAAAGAGGAAGGACGTGGGGGGGGGGAGAGGAGGTTATACGTCAACGGAAATGTAAATCGAGATGCCCTCGTGCTTGGCCCAGTGGTGGCGCTGGTCGTCCCATTCTTCGGCTACGTAGTGGCCTACTACGAGGGTGTCTTTGGGGAGCTCTTCGAAGAAGCAGCGGGGGGTTGTTACGTCGATGTAGAAGTAGAGGGCCTGGGCCATGGAGGCGAGGGAGAGGAGGGGGAGGATAGCCCTCATTTTGGCGGTTGTTTTTTTACGTGTTGTCCGTGACCGATTGTGGTAGTTGATGGGGGAGATATTGGAGCCGTCGGTGTATCGTCTGAATTGGTCGTGGTATGGTCGTCGCTCGTCAACGGTTTATCGTCGTTTGCGACGGGTTTGTTCACAAGTTCACCAGCAGCAGCAGCAGCACAGCACAGGCGCGACCCCGG